ATTTTAAGGACTAATTAACTGGTTCTTGACAAGGTATCAAAGCTGGTTTGACCAAATGGTCCTGTGCATAAATCTTCACGGCCCCCAATGTTAACTTAATTTAAGCCCGTGTGTGTGGAAATTTCAAGCGCGTGTATTGGCTTTATTTGAGGGAGCGTGTAATAAAGTGGTATATGATGCATAAATAACCTTATCTCATCAGCTCGATTTTTTTATGCCAGTTCAAGGTGTCAAACCGGTTTATGCTAGTGTGCCGGTTCAGCAAGTGGAATGGTTCAACCAGTGGCACATACCGGTTTGTGCCGGTTCATGGCAGTCAATATTACAAATAAAATTATAAATACTCATATTTAAACATGACATTTAACGTCAATGCCTAAACATTTATATTTGAATCCAACAAATAACATCAATATTTAACTTTTATACTCATAAAATAAATAATAAAATAATTTTTATCAATTAAATTCTCTAAAATAAGATCATTTTACTTAGAGGTTCGTATATCGATCATGTCGGTCATACCGGTGGTGTCACGTCGGTTTTATGACCGGTACCGGTTGAACCCAGTACAACCGGTGGCACGCCGGCCAGCGTGACAACCATGTACCAGTTGATTTATGAAATGATATCAGAGCTAATTTGTCATTAAGGTCACATGTTCAAGTCGTTATAACCTCAATACGCAAACTTCAAGTCAATAAATTGACTTTCATTTGAGTAAGCATGTCAACTTTCAACAATAGAAAAATTCCATGCAACTAACAAAACAAATCACTCGTGATGAGTAAACACAGTTAAAATAGGTGCACCTATGAATAGTAAATAAAAAGAAATTCCCATAATAAAAAGGTAAATACAATTTAATATCTAAACCTTTCATTTTAAACAATATAATAGTCAAACCTTTTCAAAAACAATCTAATATCCAAATCATCAACTTTCTGTCCGTTTGACCGTTAATTGACACTTCAAAAAAGTTTTGTTTAGGGGAAATTATCAAAATACAGCTTTATTTTCTTGTTTTGGCATTGTAGATTACTGATATTTAGATATTCTATACCATCATGGTGGATCATGGACTTCTCGGGTTTGGAACCACGATATGTTGATGGTTTTTCAGAGAATATCGATGGATATTGATAAAGTGTCGTACTTCGAACTTGATGAAGTGTCAACTAACGCTGAGACGGACGGAAAGTTGATGATTTGGATATTAAATTGTTTTCGAAAAGATTTGGCTATTATATTGTTTAAAATGAAAGGTTTGGATATTAAATTGTATTTATCCTAATAAAAACCTGGATTAGCACATTTTCTTAAGGTGTTTGTTGCAGGAAATAAAAGAAATGAGTATATGTATATAGTAAAGTCTGATATAGTTTTGCCATATGTGATACATTTATTGATAGGGTTATAGGTATAATATGCTCATCTACTATAACGTTTTATCAAACATGCACCTCCACTATTTTTTACATCAAACATACCCTTGTACTTTGGAAAACTAATCAAACATGCCCTTTTGTTAAAATTTTCATCCAAAAACCGTTAACCAAGACCAAACTTTGGTTTGGGCGACCCAAATATCTAATATTACCCTAATAATTTCACTTTAGAGTTTTTTTTTGTTCTTTTGTATAGCCAAATAATTCTAATAATTTCACTTTGACGAGACCTAGAGAAATAAAACAAGAGTCAAAACTGACATTTCCCCTCCCATTTATCGATTTAGGTCGTCTAAATCTCGATTCAACCATGATTGACAATTTTTTCAATGAAAATTTCAACTGAAGGGCATGTTTGATAATTTTTCCAAATTGCAGGGACATGTTTGATGTAAAAAATAGTAGAAGGACATATTTGATAAAACGTCATAGTAGAGAGGTATATTATACCTATAACCCTTTATTGATATAATAATTGGAATTAATTTAATGTAGTTTGACGATCCATAATAGTTGATTAGTATTTCTAAAATATTGGTTTTGAAAATTGAATTTTAAAAATTAGAAACTATAATTCATTTGTTAGAAGTTAGAATATGATATCAAAATAATTGTTAAAAAATAACTTACTTTTCACAAGTGTCACACAAATATGGGAAAACAGCCCACTGGCAACCTTATAATTCATCGTGAAAAAGATAAGAAAACCATTAACATGTTACATGATGTATGTTCCCGTCCCTGGCCGGACACGATGCCTTAAGTGGGGAATGGAGGATGGAGACGGATTATTATTAACACAATTAATTTCAGACAAAATGGGTCGCCATTAAAACATGAAAAGTTTGACGCATACAGGTAAGTAGTCTATATCATTGATTGAAAGCAAAAGTTGTGCTGAGGACAGACAAATCAATTTTAAAAGCAAAGAGATTAGATAGGGATAAAGCAAGATGTCTTTTGCGACATTGTTAATGGATGGTTTTGTGCATGCAATCATCGAAGTTCTTTGTCTAATTTAATTTTCTATTTTTATCTGAATAATGAATAACTTTTTGCTGAATTTTAAAAATTGACGAAAGTGTACTAGGGGTAGTTTGGAAGTTGCTATAGTTTTGTTGAGATTGTCATTATGCATGTATTATTTACAATGCATCGTTTTTTTTTGTTTTTTTAGCCGAAACAATACATGGATGGTTTCTGTGATGTGACAGAAACTATCACTTATTTTGAGTGATTGTTATATCTCAACTTTTAGTTGTGATTGTTGAGATAGTTGAGTTGAGATTGTTTTGTCTCAGCTTTTAGCTGATGCGACATACACAATCACACATACCAAACGTTGTATTCTACAATGCATCAAATTCGACAATACATGTATAATGTTATACATGCATTCTCAACAATACATCTATTTAACAATCGCAACTTCCAAACGACCCCTTAAGTATCAAAAGAATAGATAGTATTGACCCAAAAATTCAGCTCTATCTCCTCTCTCAAAAATTGCAATAAGAGCTTTTAACACGCAGAGTTTCACAAGTCAAGGTTTCATGACACGACTGTGACATCGACACAGTGACGTCGACGAAAAACCCACCGCATCAGATGCACAAGTCACGACTGTGTTCCTTATGTCACGGTTGGAACCTGACGTGTGTTCAAGTTTGTCGAATGTCACGACTTGTGTACAAGATCTTGGAATTTTTATTTTTCTCGAATGCCACGACTTGTGTACAACCTCTTCTGTCGAATGTCACGGCTTGGCCCCTTGACATGCGTGCTCTAAGAAACTGGGACATGTATCACCTTGTTGTCTCTGTCCCGATTTTGCATCCAAAAATGTTCCAATAAATCGTTCCTTTGCCATATTCACCTCCAGTTGGGATCTGAAATATACTAAACCAAGTATAACCTAGCGTGAATCAGACTACAAAACAACCAATATCAAACCAAACAATCAAGAATTGGAGCTCTAAGCATGTATAATTAAGCCCGAATCTTTCCGCTTCTTTTTAATTATTTAACATTTACTATATGTTAATATCATTTTTGTAAAAGTAGCAACTCATAAAGAACACAACTTTCATTAATTAAATGAGATAAAGAATTTTCTTATTTCAATTCAAGTAGCATCTCTTTTTGTTACATTATTTCACCCCTAGCATTATCTCATTTCCTTTGTTAGGCATAGGGGTGGAAATTGGGGTGGGTGGGTTACCCGCTCCACATTTTGCGGTACCCACACCCACAAATCTACAATTATGCTACCCACAACCCGCACCGCAGTGGTTAGTGGGTAATCATTACCCACTGTGGGTTTGTGCGGGTTGGGTGTGGTTACCCGCAAAAATCCATCTTTATAAGCATAGAGTTCTAGTCGCCACTAACGTATTTGTTGTTCGTAACTAGACTATAGTGATATAAACTTGTGTTGTTCGTGAGATACAATTTTGGATCTTACTCAACATGGAGATTTTTTCTTTTTGAGTTTGGTATTTAACTTTTGTGTCAGAGAGCTGTGATTTCATATTTTTCCGACTAGGGGTGAAATATGACAATTAAATATGATCTTGTATTTTTCACACAAAAGCAAAAACATACTGATAAAAGTTACAAAAGGTGTTCACTTTTAATGAATTGATTATTCTCCACTCTATCGATTATAGTGTTTTATAAACTAAAAAATTCTTACATAAAACTGATTAGGTGTGTCTTTTATATTTGGTGGCTACTTTAATTTTTATCCTCGCACTTTTCACATACTATTATATTCTAAAGTTAATTCACTAAATAAATATAATTAGTGTGATTATTGTGAATTTTGTGGGTTAACGCGATAGATAGTGGATAACCACTAACCACAAAAATCGTTATTTTACTACCCACAACTTGTGGGTATGGTTACCCACAATAGGTGCGGGTTGGTGTGGTTTGCGGATTATCCACAACCCGCAACCCAAACTTCCACTCCTAGTTAGGCAGATTCCACTTCACTTGGAAAGGCTTTTCTCGCTCGCCCCACTTCACTTAAGTAACCAGGAAATGGTTGGCTTGTTGGGTCATGATCATCATTTGCGGTCCTAAGAGATAATAAAAGAAGTCGCCAAGGGACCAAAGCTTAATTATCTAATTTCCCCCATACCCTCACTACACTACTGCTCTATTACTACACTCAAGTTTTCAATGGCAGTAAAAGTTTCTGGCAGACGATGAAGGCGACTGAACTACCAGTCCTATTTTTCATCCATCCATCCCCAGCTCGTCAGCCTTGTATTTCTGATGAAAATGCGGGAGGCCGTCCAACTTGATTTAGTGCGGGGAGAGCCGCGACAGTAAACGAGACAAAAGGAAACAGTGTGAAATCTTTTTGGCTGATTAGGGATCTGGGTCGCTGTAGGGCTTAGCTCAAGTCATTGTCATTCAGCTGAAGCTTTCAGCCCATCCAATTGCTCGGCCTGTCTGTTTGTTTGTGTGACCACTTCAGTTTGTCTCTCGAAGGTCCTGCCAGACAAGCTGCCGAAGACGATTCGGCCCATTTGGAACTCATGTGTCATCGATGACGTTTAATTACGCCATCTTCTATTTGATTTTGGATGGACTCACATCTAATTGATTAAATTGGGTCAAAATTACGCTCATACTCATGAATTTCAGATCCAAACGAATTTGTAACAATTCACCCTTCTCTCTCTTCAGACCATCGACCAAAAACCTCTCTCACCATATGATCTTCTCCTTCTTTGCCGGCTTCTTCGGCATCGACGACCGGAACCCATCTTCTTCCTCTACAAGATCGACTTTGAGTTGATCAAGGATGAAGAGAGTAGAAATCGAAAGGTAAAGTCAAAGCGTGATTAGGAACTCTGAAAGACCAGTGCAGCCATCCGGACCACTCTCAGTCGTGTCGCAAACTTTATTAATGGCATCACATGTGAACACAAACTCTTGTCATTGCTTTGGGTCTGGAATATTGGAAGGCCAGTACGACGAGTGGCAATTTGGTCTTAAGCCGAAGCCCGCTGCTGGAACAATGGTTCCAACGAGAAATAGGTGTTCGTTTTAGACTCGGACAAGCCGGGAACTCAAGTTCCCTTTTCTCAAATTAATTCTCTCTACACTTTTTTTAATCCATTCAACCCTTTAAATAGGGAAATAGAGATGAGCTACATTGATCGGATTACCATCCGAAGATTTTGGGTCCAATCGCTTACAATTCTAGCTAATTGAAGATCAAAGGTAAACCCAAGTGATCCTGCATCCTAACCTATCCCGTTAACTAACTTGAAACCTACTTTAAGATGACTTTCTAGCCTAACAACCCAATTCTACCAAATCAACAAAGCAAAATCATATAAAACTCCATGCTTCCTAAGCAAAGGCAGCAACACTATTGGGCTTCATGGGCCTTTGTCTAGTCATGTGTGAAACCATTGTGTGCATAGAATGGGGCCTTGTCAATGGAATGAGAGATGTGTAGGTTTAAATTGTTAAAGTGGGCTTTAGAGGTTCCGTGAGCCGCAAATCAAGTCCGCGAAATAAGCCTTCTAACTACTAATTGTATTAAGATCTAACCGAAATTAAGACTAAACTCGAGTCAATCGATTCATCTTCCTTCGTATCTCATTGTTCCTATTGCTTATCTTATACAAACCATAACCATTACAGCCAATAAAAAGTTTTTCAGTATGCCTTGTTTATAAGATTGTTTTCAATGCTATCTTTTTTTTTTCATAAATGAAAAATACCCGATTCATAAATAAATAAAAAAATCAATCATGCTAATTAATAAGTTGGAGACTTTTATTGCATGTCGACGTAGCAACAATCTGGAGTGGAAAACAATTACACAAATTGGCCAACTACCCAGCGAAAGAAAAATGAAAGCAAAATAAAAACACATAACCCAAAAACTCTTATCTAGAGAGTAAGCGGGGCAAAATTACGCAGAGAGTAAAAATTACATGAACTCTCGGTAAAAAAAAAAAACCCCTCAACAAGTAAATATCATGCAGTACTGCATGAATCTTCCATTCTTCAACAATCAAGGTGACTAAATAAACCTGGTTGATCGATCTGATCAAAACCAGGCAAAAAATTGGGATGTAACCCAAACAATCCCTCTTGATGATGAAGAAGAGAAGAAACCTCAGCAGCATCCTTCGATGGTTGGTGACGAAAGAGCTCGCACTTGCACAGCCGAGCCATGGATCCTTTCACAAGCTTGACGGATCAAAAAAAGCAAGAATAATGAAACACGTATGGGAGTGCAAAAAACTAAGGTCTATATGCATGAATAATGAGTCACTAATCGCGCTGTGATGAGAACGGTAACTATTTTATTAGAGCCCTTCTTAGGTTCCTCACAAGATCGACCATCGGTGTGGAGAAATCGCAGTCCATCTGAAAAATAACAAGAGATCAATCAATGTTCAGTTTCTCGTCGCAGCAATTCAAAAAGAAAGATGTTGATGCTGCAGAGAGAGATAGAGAGGGGAAGAAAAAAACCAATGAAATAAAAAATACCTGCGCGACGACAGTTATGTCGAGAGTGGAGTTTCCAAATGGCAAGACGTTGCTGTTCATCACGCCGAGATTCAGCTTCTCTATCTCGCACAATAACTTTGCGATGCACCCTTTGTGTTTCTCGCAGTGGATCCTGATCATGACGTCTTTACCGGAGACTCTGGCTTCGATCTCCGGGAGCTGGGAGCCATCGGACAAGTAGTTCTCCTCAGTACTCGAGGAGGAGGAGGACGATAATTCGTTATTGTCATCGAGGTTATACACACGAGATTTCTTCACGTAGACCACCGATTCCATCGTCTTCCTGCTGCTCGCTTGTTCCTCCAATATCTGCACTCGCTCCTGGAGCTGCTTCAGGTATTTTATCGCATCTCCCAAAACCGACGCCTTATCCATCTAACCAAAACAGTATTTATAAGTAAGGAGGAGTTGGGAACTCAAAATGAGTAGTTATAACTTGTAATTAAGATGTTGATTAGCAGTAATTAATATATGTAAACTACCTTTTTGAGGCCTGGGACGACAGCGGAGAGGGCGATGAAGCGCTGGCTGAGCTTCTCCCGGCGCTTCCTTTCGGCGATGACATGATCCTGTGCACTAAGAGGGGATCTGGTCGTGGCAGCAGCGGCGCTCCTTTTGGTGCCGTGCTCCGGAATCGGAGATGATGTGTACTCAGGCTTGACAATAGCAGCAGCAGCGGCAGCAGCCGATCTCCTAGGGTTTTGGAGGGAATCGGTGGAGCTTTCGAAAGAGATGACGCAAGAATAGGGGGAAGAAGGAGGAGGAGGAGAAGCTTTGGAGCATTGGTTGGTGTTGGTAATGGTAAGTTGGTGCTTGGGAAGTTTGGCCGGCCTGGTCTGGTGGTGAACCGGGATTTGGTAGCTTTGAGGGATGGCCAGAGGAATGGTGTCGTGGTCGAAATCGAAGGCGTCCAGTGAGGAGCAGTCAAAACCTTGGTAGTAATTGAAAGATGGGTCTTCCATTCCCTGCTTAATTTGAGACAGAAAAATCTTTACATACATGTACAGGAGTTGGAAACAGTAGGAGTAAGTGGCTGTATGAACAAAACCAGCAGCCTACTTACCAAGTCAGGCAACCATTGAGTCTGTTGGATTTCCATTCAATCTTAAGATACGGGCGACTTTACTTGGCTCTGCAGCGACTTCTGGGTCTTTTTTGGGATGATGGGAGCTGTAAGCGTACCTGTGAAATAATGATGGTGGGGACGACTTAAGTTCTTGTTATGGTTAGGCAGCTGAAGGAGGAAGAGAGGGTTTAAGTGGGTTGTTTTTATAGGAAGAGAAATTAATTATTAATTAGGAAACGAGAGCGGTTGTTTGGGCGGAGTGGGGGGAAAGACTGGCCGCTGCTTCTGTTTTCCCTTGCAAGAGGGAAGATGGAGGCGCGTCCATATTCCTTGGAGTTGGACGAAGCTTCTATAGCGCACATGTGAAAATGGTTTTGGGGTGTGATGTTGAAAACCAAGATTGACGGAGAAGCGACATGGGGATGAAAAGACAAATATAAAGGCCATCTATAACATCATATTCTTTTTATTTTCTTATATATCGTGGTAATTTCTCAAGTGGAAACATAATTTTGTGTTGTTTTATGCTAAGTATATACACAATAATAATCAGAAACAGAACAAACAACAGTAAGAAGAAGGGATAGAATTTGATGCCCAATTTATTATAGGGTCGTTTGGATGAGAAATTCTAATGAATAAATCTAATACAATTGTCTCTTTTTGAGTCAATTGTTCTAGATTGATCCGTTTGGCAGCAGGAAATTTGGATGAAGCAATTTGGGCTGGGGAATTCTGAATTGACTCGTTTTGATGCCCAATTTATTGTAGGGTCGTTTGGATGAGAAATTCTAATGAATCAATCTAACACAATTGTCTCGTTTTGAGTCAATTGTTCTAGATTGATCCGTTTGGCAGCAGGAAATTTGGATGAAGCAATTTGGGCTGGGGAATTCTGAATTGACTCATTTTGAGCCAATTACAATTGTCTGGGGTGGGGGCAGGTAATATGAATTGACTCGTTTTAAATGACTCGTTTTGTAAAATGAAACAATTGATCAAATTATCTCGTTTTACAATTGATCCATCCGAACGATTCCGTAGAAATGCCAGACAGAGAGCGGCACTGTTCAGTTGGTGCATCGTTTTTGTCTGTTTGTGTGCCCTTTTGTTGACAATGTTATCGTGTATGTGTAGGGGGCTTTTGACCAACCAACGGCGAAAGGAAATTTGCTGTCTGTCTTATCATCATCATCATTGCCTTTTTTTTTAATTCTTCCTGAATGAATATATTAATGAATGAATCCCAACTTATTTGGGACAAAGCCACCAATAACGTGGTAATTTGATATCAATCACGGGGTGTAATCTGAGCATCGACGAAGGAACCTTTGCTAATTGGAAAAGGAACAAAGAATTGCTAAAGGACCCATCGGGGGAACAAAAAATAAGAAGAATCATTATGGGGTTGTTGTATATGTTCTATCGGGTGTGAAAATCGGTATGATATCTCAATATCAAATATCGAAATCTTGAATATCGAATTAAACTCTAAAATCAATTTCAATATCAATCTCTAAATAATTTTGGTATTCCAATCCCAATCCTTAAATATTTCGGTATCCCAATCGGTACTTCGGTATCCCAATCGGTATTATCAAATACAAATTAATTACCTTTACAATTAATAATTAAATATATAAATTAGATTTTATTGTTTAATTTCGGGCAAAAAATCTAAGCAAAGAGCCATGAGTTTGCCAATAGTTAGGATATGGATAAAGAAAATGGAGGAGAGGTGACATCTCAAACTCTTGTCATCGGTAATCTTTAATTTGACAAATTGGAGGTTGAGAGGCGACTAATACTATTGTTTGCTTTTTGGTGTTATGAAAATAATAAGAGATTAGGTGAGAGACGAGAGTGACTTAAATTGGAAAGTCAAATTTGAGTTGGATGGAGACTTTTAAATTGTGAAATTGTGATGGAATGATCTATGTATAATGAGGTCATTTGATTTTGGTGATTGTTTGGTTGAGATAGTTACAATATATGTATTGTCCGCAATGTTTTTCTGAATTTTCTGCACAAACAATACATGCATTGTTTGCTTGATATGACACAAACTATCACTCAAAATGAGTGATAGTTAAATCTCAAGTTTTGGGTGAGATTGTTGAGATTGTTGTGTGTTTTTTCTTCCAATTTTGTCTCTACCTTTTTATGTGTCTTGGTTTTCTATATTACAAACAAAGGGTAAAAGTGACATTTCACCCAAAAAGTAAGATAACTCATTTAAATAACACAATAACCATCACATAAACCAAATGATGTAAACTACAATCCACCGATTTTCTTATATACATGTATATTATTATGCATGCATTGATGACAATGCATCTATTTAACTATCACCAAAACCAAACAACCCTAAATGACATTCTTGGTGGTTGAGGTTCGTCTAGCAGTGAATGAGAGAGTCTAGTTGAGAGGATTAAATACACATTAGCTTATATTTCGGTATTGATCGGTATTTCGGTATATACCCATCCCAATCCCGTAATCCCTAATATCGAATAACAATTTAAATTCAATTCCAATACCGATCCCAAGAAATAATACGTGTATTCGGTAATACCAAATATAGACATATTCGGTACAGTATTCGGTAGATCCCAAATACCGCTACCAAACTTCCAACCCTAGTCCTATCGCTTCTAGGTTAAGAAAATAGTTAAGATTTTAATGTTAGTAGTACAAGTAGTTAGTATCTCAGACTTCTCTCCATAGTTCGTTTTAAATCGGAGTTCAAAATTTTGTGCGTAGAAGATACAATTTTATCCTCTAAAAGATTATCTACATTTTGATATCATTTAGACGATTTTTTTATGTCATCTTAATTATCACTGTCTTATCGTGATATTACTACTACGGTAATATCACAATATTAATTTGGCATGAAGGTGTTGTCATTCTTACCATACTGGTAATTGAGCATATAAACATAAGGAACACGAGGAGAGAACATTTAACACCCTCTCTCAAATTGATGTTGGGTACATAATATCAATTTGGATGGTATAGTATCCTTACAGCATGCATAATTTGCATCTATAAAAGCTTCGATCATCGGTTCACCGGCAAAAGGAGAGAACATGCCGACATCTTGCATTTGCTTCAAGTATATATCTCAGCAACCTATGGATGTTACTCCAAGCTCTAGCCGAAATTCACCTCCTCCTATGGACGCTACTCGAGCCCACTAGGGCAGAGTGTGTGTAAAAGTATGTTTTTAGCTCTAGCCTGAGCATTATTTATAGCACAATGAAGAAGATTATTCTAGGGGGTTCCTCCCAAAACTCGGCTAAAGGTGTCCTAGTACCACCATGCCGCGAATTTCTTGACTTGGGGATGAAGTAAAGCCTATTCCTGAAACTTCCATGGGCTTGGGTCAACGATAGTCGAGCGGCAGTCTAGGCCGCCATGCTTTTTCTTGTTGATATGGGTTGCTAGACCCACAAGTAACCTCTCCATGGATTTTGTCCGCAACTTGATGGTTTTGGGCTAGTGGCGGTTGGGCCAATCTAATGGCCACCATGACTGCTCTTCTCTAAATGGGATTATTTCTCGTCCTCCTACTGATCTGTTGATGATCCATATTTATCTTGGGTGTATTATATCATTGAAAAGCATGATCTAACACCAAATGAGTAAAATAGTTCAAAAACACACTTAATGTCTAAATCATGCATATAGATCAAATGCTTATGAATCCATATGAAATATATAAAAATCCAATATAGATGTAATGATAAAAAGAGAAATTTATCAAATATAGGGAGTGAAAAATAATATAATTTGAGCTTCATCAGAGGTGCCTTGAGTTTTGTAAGAACTTTGAAAAGTAAAATACGTGCAAAAAATGCACGAGTCACCCAACTGGACTTGCTTTATCACAATTAACCATCTATGTATCTAATGCTCCCAACCATGCCACTTTCGATCAAATCTACATCTATGTTAGCCGTAAACATCAAGAAGTCCTACCTAGTGTAAAATGTGATGTAACAAGCAATTTCATTATGGAACCAATCAAACACCTACTAAATTTGAAATTTTCGCCTCTCAACATGCGATTTTATTTATGAAAAATATAATATAAAATGCAATTTTATTAGAAAAATACCAATCCAGACATGCTTAATATCAATGGACATGAGGTTTAACCTTGTGATCTTTTTCAGTTGAGTTCCCCCTCCCAAGCATTGCGGATCCTGGGGTGGCCACCCCAGGCCCCGGCCTAGCCCTCCTCTGGATCCGTAGTTACTATAGTCCTTATGAAATTTTTTATTTTAGACATTCAATCCAGTGTTATTCTATGATAAGATTGGGTTTAACTAGAAAAATTATCAAGTTGAACATATTCAAATCACTATTCTAAATTTAGCCTAGAAATTTTAGCCCCAAAGATTATGCGCCTTAAAAAAACAATGAAACCTAAAATTCTAAAAAGTTAAAAACGTAAAAGACTAAAAGAAATATGAGGTTGGTTCCCTTACAAATTTACTAAAGCAGCTGGTGTGCAGGGATGGACACACAATGTAAATTGATTAGTCGATTGATTTATCTAGTTTGATGCTGCTCGTTTCAACATCTACTACGAAGAGAACCTTTTTAACAATGAAACATGTGAGAACTGATTTGCTCAACAAAATGAGCGATGAATTTCTCGCCGATTGCTCAAGTATTTTATTTGAAACAGTGTATACTATTGGTATGGATGTAAACTTCATTATTGATGCATTCCCTAAATTAAAATACAGTTGTGTACAATTTACATTGCAAAAAACTATAATCATTATATCTTTTTTACGGTTCTAATTTTCTAATGAAATGCGGCCCAGTGCTCTTCTGTGTTCTGGATCCGCCGTTGCTCCCAAGTCTCATCCATGATAATGATCATTATCCTTTTTCTTTTCACATAGACTATATACCTTAATTATCTAGATCCTTGTTGTCCAACTATACCAAAAGTGATAATGTAAAAATCGGTTGGTGTACCGGCTCCAGGCCAACCAACAGGCACTTTTTTTATATTTGTTAATGATAGTCAATATTCATTTCCTTCTACGATCTTTCTGTATAAACCCTAATGATTATTCTAGAAGACAACTTTGCATGTTGGAGTCTCTTGATTGCCCCTTCAAAGATAAAGGAAATGATTGTCAAGGCCTTGTTGTCAAGAACCAGGAAAGGTTCAATCGTAGACCATATGGAACAAGCTACGATGTTAATCCTATAGAGGGTTAGCACCGTCCTAATAGTCGTGGTAGTATTTTTGTATGGAAGTTTTTGGTAGTCTTTTTTTATTGATCGCCTGTGTTGTTAATATGTAGGGTCTGTAGTAGTTTGATGTGCAGTCATGGTATTTTTCTGGTCATAGTTGTCTTGGGACTATGTAGTTTCGTCAATATATATTGAGGTGCAATATATTGGTAGTAGTGATTTTTAATAATACGTTTGTAGTGTTTGTATGAATACGTGTGTAGCGTTTTTGGGGTTAGCAGGTGCTAACGGGGTATGGGGTTAGCATCCCATCCCACCCCGGACCATATACCGTTTACTAACACCACCTTCAAACTCAAGCCATTCAGATATGTTTGGAGTTTGGACAAGTACAGGTCCGTACACCGTGTGCTTTACTAACACCACCTTCAAACTCAAGCCATTCAGATAGGTTTGGAGTTTGGACAAGTAGAGGTCCGTACACCGTGTGCTTAACAGAAACAGAAGGGGGTCACCGAGAATCGAACAGAAGACCTCACGATCACAGAAGGCTCTGATACCATGTCAAGAACCAGTTGATTCCAATAACTCGAGTTGTTGGAGAGGTTCAATCGTGGACCATATACCGTTTACTAATACTTGTGACTTGTGAAAGCCTTATGCATGATCAGCTACTAAGATACCTATTTTGTCGAATTCGTCCCAGAGAAGTACTATCCGTCCAGATTCCCGACAATTGGTTTCCAGGCAATATATTGTCTAAATCAGGCTACTTGCCAACTAGTTCCTTAAGAAAACAAAGTAATGGATTCTAGATCCTACCAACACCAGTAGTTTACAGCTTGTTGACATTCGATCTTCCGGACTTCGGAGCTAGCGTGCCAAGTTGCTAAAGTCTATCCCTGGGCAAGAATTTTGGAGCGCGAGTAGTGCCGGTGCACGCAAATGTGTTGTAGTTAAAAATTGTTGTTGCATACTGAAGTGGGTCAAATTTATTTGGTTCCAAGGTCAGATCATATTCCTTTGGGATCTCTCACAAACACTTACTCAGATGATGAGTGATGAGTTTCTATGGCTTGAAAACGTGAACTTCAGAAGTTGAAGTTTTCTTTAGTTTTGTAGTCATGAGAGTACTTTTGAGTAATCAACAAAATACAAGTTTAAGTGTATCCTTTAGTTCAATATTGCTTTATGTGTCTTATAACGTTTTTCCTAATTTGGACAACTCTTAATATGCAATTACCTTACTGCTCATATGGGGTAACATTTACTTTCTTTCTGGATACTCTATTAAGGATGTATATTGCAATCTTTATGGCTTCTACACGGATGGAGTCTAGTAAGGAAAAATGCCTAATTCTGCTCCAAACCATGTCATGAAGATTCTAATGGTACCTTCTTAATACATCCTTAATTCTCTTGTTGTTTCTTTATTGAGAATTTACAGTTAAATGAACGGGCAGAGTCTTATCTCGTATCTTTCCTCCTCATCTTTTGTGAGTACCAATACTCAGTTGAAATTTCATAGGGAAAGATAAATTAAATCAAGTGATGAGTATGTCTTTCCACAACTTTAACTTTAGACACTAGAGTTTTAATGTGAAATAAAGATGCCTCCAAAATAATACGCTTGTTCCATTTTCCTTTTGCGAAACTAAGTAAGGCCCGAGGCCCCTGCAATTCGTACATATAAAGAGTTGCATTAATGATAAAAATCTCTGGGAAATAATAAATTGTAAGTGATATCTTATGACCAAGTATTTAAATATAAGAACATGTGAAATAGTAAGTATACCTTTGTGCCTATTTAAAAGTTCACATGCGAACCGAATAATCATCACATATTTATTACTACGTGCTCACATATGAACCTTAAATTTACCTACATTTGTGCCAGTGAATACATAATTTACACACGCTAAATTGTAAACCTTTACTCTACAAGGATGTAAAATTGTTCAAACCGACTCCAAAATTTTGATTTACCGAAATTAGTCTTGTTAAACAAAACTACGAGGTATGAATTGCACAATAGTAACTTTAAAGTGCATTTTAATGATCCAACAACAATTAAGTAACATAAAATATCGATGACAAATCTTGTCAACTTTTGTGTGATTGTAATTATAGTTTTCGTTTTTGGATCAAGGATTGTCGATAGATTTTAGGAGTTCAACTTATCAAATTCATTGCAAGATGACAGCAGATAGGCCTCTAATCCCAATTTGTTCCTTCTCTTAAGCTTATATTCTCCTTGTTAAGTTTTAAGTGAAGTGTGATGTTATGATGTTAATCTCCTCCATTGTCCTGTTATAATAAATCTTGCAGAGCGGCTGTCCCAACCAGACTTTACAATCCTGTAGATCTTCTTGTTCGATGCAGTCTGGTAATGGTACTGTCCCAATTCAGAATTAAGCAAAAGAATCTGCGTTCAGAGTTGATACAACAAAGTTGAGTTACCTTGTGAAGGAAAATTATAGAAACACAAAAATAGAATGTGGATTGGGTGAAAGCTGCAGCCTACAAGAAAAATGCAACATAAGTAAAAGCATGTGCTGCTGCAAGTTTTCTAAGCTTATATAGAACACTTTTCATGAACTCAATGCATTGTATTATTAGATGTTTAGTTAAACTTCGTGGGGGTGCTTACAGTTATGATTGCCAAATTCATTTCAAAGTAGCTTTATCCTCTAGTCTTTTGCTTTGAGTCACTGTAATCACTCGCAGAAATCTCTCATTATTTAATGCTACATTATATAAAGTAATCTAGCTATCTCTATGTGCAATACTTATGCTTATTTTATTTGTTCACTAATTTTGGTCATTTCATTTTGCAGTTTATATATTGAAGATGGACAAGAGTTGGCTCTCAAAACAACGAGCAAATACCGCCTATCTTAATGGAGTAGAGAGTTTTTTGGACTTAGCCTTTTCTAATTCAGCTGAGGGGAATGAGATCCTTTGCCCGTATTTGAAGTGTAAGAATACATTTTGGCAAACAAGAAATGTCGTGAACGAGCACCTCATTTGTCATGGGTTCGTGAAAAATTACACATTTTGGACTTTCCATGGAGAGAAAGAAGATCAAGATGGTCAAAACGATGATATGATAGAAGATGATATGTTTGGTCTATTAAGGGAAGTTCTTGATGATAATGGTGGCAGAGAGCCAGATGGACATACTAGACATTTTTTTCAGTCTATTAGAAGCCTCCGATCAAGATTTGTACCCGAGCTGCAAAAAGTTTTCCAAGCTGTCATTCACCATTCAAATATATCTTCAAAAGTGCCTGCATGGATGGAGTAATTCCTCTCTTGATTCACTTTTATCTTTATTGAATGAGGTATTTCCTGATGCAAATATTCCCAAGTAATTTGTTAAAATGAAAACAATGATTAAAGGTTTAGGGTTGACCTACAAGAGGATTGATGCTTTATGATGGTGATGACGACAGTAAGCTAGCTAAAGAGTTGCAGAAAATGTGAGTAGTCCAGATACAAGTTTCCCTTGGAGGATAAGGGAGATAGTGTTGAAGAAGGTACTGTTTCTAAGAAACAAGTTGCTGCTAAGATTTTCCGCTGCTTTCCTTTGATACCGAGATTCAAAAGGTTGCAATCCATTCCCTTCGCCTTCCCCAGCTTCCCCGTACCTCTCGCTACCTGTTCTCTCCGACTTCCCCACCCAGAGCCGAACAATTAACCATCGAAGCAATCTGTCCTCCTGCAACTCCAAGTATTAGCAGTTGTTAGCTTAACAGGGGATGAGCACCTCCCGTGTTTTATTGATGGCAATTGGTGAACTCCAATTTATATATATTTTATTTTTTTATTATGTTAAAGGTATATTTTATTAATTGTTCAAACATCCAGATTAATCAAGCTATAAAATTGGTTTCTTTACATAATTTCGAGTGGGTATAATCGTTAGAAAAATAACTAACTTAATACATATATAATTAGTAATTTTTTGATAGGATCTTAAATATTCATTTAGTTCGAATTACGGATTATGTGTGTAGAAAGTGAATTCAAAATTTTCAATTCAAATATTCATCCATATTATATTGCGGTCGAATATGCGGTGCAGTTTGGACCACACCAAACCGCTTATTAAAGCGGTTCGGTTTGACCGCACCGATTAAATTGCGGTCTAATATGCGGTGCGGTCCAAATAACATGCGGTGCTGTGCGGTTTATGTCAATATGATGCAGTGCGGTTCGGACCGCACCAATGCCCACCCCTACCGCGTGGTGGTCTCATCTCAGCCGCATGGTCGTTTCCTCACGAGTACATGGTCTCCTCATCGCGGCCGCATGCTATCTCCTTACGACCACATCGTTTTCATGTCGCGGCCGCGTTGTGTTGATGCATGATCTCATGAGTCATGGGATGCTTTCCCAGGACTTAGTATATTTTCATACTGCCTCGTGGCTAGGAGCTAGGAATGATCTCGTGACATGATCTGTTTACCTCCCATGGAGTTCTCTGTGTCGTGGTCGTAACTTCTCCCGGCGCGCCCATGGTGCTCTTAACTTGCGATCACGTCTACTTGATCTCCTAAAAATTGTTTTGCTAATGGGGTGTGACCGACCAGCATCACTTTAATTCGGTGACATGAAGTGTGTTACTGTGTTTGCGGCAAAATGAATAATATTTTGTATTCCATTTGTTAGGTTTGTGGACAAAAATATGTAGGGAAACAAACCAACATTTCAAATAAATGGCAGCTTATACACAAAATTTACCTGAAATAATGCGATCACTGGTACAATATGATGGATAAGTACTTAAAACGATCATTTGGTTGTTCGTCAAAACAAACCAACATTTTCATACGACCGAAACATATGAACGGTCCGAGCATGCAACTTTTGTCATCGGAACTTAACGTACAACTCGGTGCAGACTCTTCACAAGATCCCTCATTGTCGTAGCAGAATCGCTGCCGTCCATCTGCATTGAAGAACAACCAAATGCTTTTAACTACTGTGCATTGGATACATGACAAAACAGACTCCATACAACCAAAACATTTGGACTGACAACTGCATGAAAAATGGAACTACTCTTTGTTCGTGAAGAGCTGGAATAATAAAATAATAATGAGCTGGGCTACCTATTTTCCTGTGACAATAAATTATATTCATCTATTTGTTTATGTGATATGACAAAACAAGAAAGGCGATTCGTATCTACAATTACATACAAGTCAGTTTTAGTTTAGACATTAGATCTGTTATATATCACACAATCTATACTTAAAAGATTGCTTACCTTTAATATATATAATAGATCTGTTATATATCACACAATCTATACTTAAAAGATTGCTTACCTTTAATATATATAATAATTAGCATTTAAGTACATTTATGGTGACAACCATCGCATACCAAAGATGAGATACAGTATTCAGGGCAACTATTCTGTGAATATATATTATTTCTAATTTGAAATATAGATATAATTATATGTACATTTTTTATAAATGTAGTAATTATAATAGTGGATAAGACTTCAGCGCCACTCACTTAATTACCACAATTCAAACCAATCCCTCGTCGAGATTCATGGCTCTGCCACTGGAAGTAGTAATCAACTTAAGTGTGTATTAAATAGTCATAGAAGATCGGCCAAGTCATGAACTGGATATGACAACTATTGTTCAAAGATGTTATATGAAAAAAAAAAGGGGACAGGTTTGCTGTAATAATAATATAGGTGCCAACGCCATTATTGATTGCATGTTGGGTGGGTCTGGATAAATTTCACAAGCATGTGGGGGATAATTTTTTTAAATATCTGCCTTCCATATATTCTAAGAAATCTAATTTCTTTCTCGAAACGGGAACTAAACCCATATCCCGACCACAGAAGAACACCTATACCCTAATACCGTAAATAACTAATGTACGATTGGAAAGTAAGAGAAGAGTCTGAAGCTAAAGTCAATTATGGTTACCTGATGAGCCACAAGTGTGATATCAAGAATGGAACTTCCGAAAGGCAGCACCGTGCTATTGATGACATTCAACCGATGCTTCTCGATTTCGGCTAGCACTTTGGACAAGCTTCCTTTCTGCCTCTCGCAGTGGATCCTGATCAGAACGTGTCCATCCGACACTCTTGCTTCAATCTCCGGAAGTGGCGACTCATGATTACTCGACGGCCGATCAGCTGAAGAAGAAGAATACTCGTCCTCGACATGGACCTGCGATTTCTTCACGAACAGCACGCTCTCCACAGCTTCCTTTCCTGCAGTTTGCTCCTCCAATGACTTGACGCGCTCCTGAAGATGCTGCAAGTACTTGGTAGCATCTCCTAGCACAGATGCCTTATCCATCTGCACATCAAGTAGCAGTACTTAGAACCTCGAGCAGTCGTCTCCAAAGTAATTGTATGGGTTAGCTCATAAGTCATAACCCAACAACTTGTTTCAGAAACAAGCAAATTGAAAGATGAACAGAGCAATTAACTTCCACACAATATGGGGCGTTCATTTCATGTTCTGTTGAAAAGAAAGAATCTTATTCAAGCCCAGAAAACAAAAATGAAACAGTGAAACTTTTGTTCTCGTTATCTCTTGGAACTTTCAGTTTCGAACATAGAGGGAAATTGAAGGGTTTGAAAGAAAAACGACACAGACCTTCTTGAGGCCAGGAACAAGAGCCGAAAGCGCGATGAAGCGCTGACTGAGCTTCTCGCGACGTTTCCTTTCAGCAATCACATGGTCTTGCGCATGAGCAACGCTCCTACTCCTGCTGCTGCTGCTGCTACTACTACTTCCACCAGCTGCCCTTTTTTTGGTCTCTCCATCTAAGGAAGCATCCGAGTTCAGATATGGGTAGTAATCATCAAATTCGGCCATCACTCCATCTTCAGTTCTATAATCAGCGGCACTCTCCGACTTCACAGCTGGGCGGGTTGGTGGAGAAAGCGAGTTTCCGAAAGAAATAATGCGAGAAGAAGACGGAGGAGGAGAATGCAAGTGCTTCAAACTCGCTGCGGAATGATCCCAAGTCGGTAAGTCGGTGTGGGTTCGGTGCTCTGGTGGCCTCCCGAAGCTGCCAGTTGCCGTAGATGCATAGTTGACGGTGGAGACGTTGTTTGGGTTGATCATATTATTCTGCTCGGTGTGGCCATTTATCGAACACCTTTCGTGCATGAACAATGAGTCGAAGCTGAAGTGATCGCCAGAAGAATACACGAACTGGTTTTGCATTTGGTAACTGTCGTAGTCACCAAAAGCCGCTGGATCCTCCGTTTCCTGCAGAGACCAAAACCAAAAAAAAAAAAAAAAAAAAAAAAAGAAGGATCAATCGCCGTTTGAGTAGTTTCGAAAGACGCGAGCAGATCTACCATTTTGGTGGGCGGGAGTTCCATTTGTTACAGCAGAAGCTGCCGAATCTCGAGCTTTTCCTGATCGATCTTGTTGTAGATCTTGAATTGAACGAGATCAACCCGGCCGCCTAACTCCTGCTACATATTCGATTTACTTTGTTGAGAGCTTACAGCTTTTAGAGACAACAATTAAAAGAAAAAAAAAAAAAAAACAGGTAGCAGTGATGGGCTTAATATAGTAGAGACAAATCACGAGGAGAGGGGAAAAGGTGTATTTTGGGAGTTCTAGAAGCTGGAAGAGAGAAAAGTAGAGGGAGCAGCTGGTTAAGTTGGACTTGGGAAGGGGAGGGTTTTCACTTTCCGAAACTTTCCAGGGAAACCAGGAAACAAGCACCAGTGAGTGTCTCTTTACGCGCAACGTTGACATGGTTCAATGACAGTCCAAAAAACTTAAATGAATCGATTAATTAATTAATTAGTGGTGATATAATTTTTAATTTGTTTACATGCGATATCACGTGTGAAAATGGGGTTCGGGGGAGGATATATCATATAAGTTTAAGAATTACGTTGGGTTTGTGGGCACTTGTTGGATGTTGACCCGCGAATAGGAATGTGCCAAGTCAGCGCTTCTGGACGGAAGAAGAAGAAGCGCCTCACCACCCTTCTCGTTTCCAAAGTGGTTATCATGCTGATTAGTTTTCTTTGTTTTATGCTATTTGAGTTAATAAAGCTAGTTTTTGGAAGCAAACTTGTGTATACGGTTTGTATGATCTCAATCTTTCTATCTAAATTATTATGCACTTGGTAACGGTCCAGATGATTTCAAATAAGTTGATTATAACGATTATTTTTTTTCGTGTAATTCACTTCGATCCTTGAAATCCTCAGAACTTTCCCTTATGTGAAGAGTCACCATCTTCGTAAACCCCATTCACCCAAGAGAAATTCTTAGATTTTTCCTCGATAAATTTGTCGATTTAAGTAGCTTGTAGAACTTCGAATGTCGTTGTTGCTCTATTGATTTGAAGCACTCAATTCGGGATAGACAAACCAAAAACATCACCACCGTTGGATTAAACCCATCCATACTTTCTAAATTTCCACAATCTCATTGGTTTCTTTGGATTTACATCTTCTGTGTGTTTGCACCTTGATGATGATCCATCATTTGAAGTATAGGTTTAATCTCCCTCTACTTTGTCCTCGTTTCTTAATTTTTAGTCATCAAGTACGGCACTAAGGCTGCAATGAAAATTGGTAAGTGTAAATCGGCTGCCTCTAGAATGGGTGATGATTTTGGGAGGGATGTTTCAGCTCGTGCCAATTTCTGAAAGCACCTATAGCCTCTCTTAATAAAATTGAAGTTTCTCACATCGTAGATTTTAAGGTTTGAATTCTTGTGTCCACATCAACTAGCGAATGGAGTTGTGAGTTTTACTAAGGTGGTTTGTTACGAGAACCAAGACATCGTAACTATTGGACCTTGATCTATTCTTGGTTATTTTATTATTTAGTATTTTAGTAGTAATTGTCTTTATTATTGCTTTCATTGTTCAAGTAGGATTTAGTTTATTATTATTTCCTTGTAGGGTGGGGTTTCATGTTTTGGGTAGGAAAAAAGGAGAAGGCGGCCGCCGGCCTATTAGGAGAAGGATTGGGATTTTGGGTTTCCATAGCCTATAAATATGTACTCATTCTCTAGTTTAATGTCATGTTGAAGATTGAAATTCATTAGTAGTTGTAGTTCTCTTTGTTCCTCTGAATATTCTCTTCGTTCTAACTCTCTTTCTTACGAATATCTTTCAACAATCACAGTCATCACCCCAGGTGGGGGTGTGCATGGGTGCGCATTGGGCAGTTGAGTGGGTTTTTGTCCCAAATTGACCCACCCGCTTACTTAAGAGTTGGAATAATTCTGAACCGTTATCCACACACATCATTCTTCATTTGATGGTTATGTATGTGGCGTATGTGTGCGGTTGAGTCGTGGGTTAACTCGCAGATAAATTTTCCAACTAGTTATTAAGAAAGTTTACTAACATTTATAATAAATTCCTCACAAATTAGTAACACTGTAGCAATTTAGACACTTTCCACTTTGTCTCATGTGGATCTGTATGGTGTTGCATCATATTTTTCATTATTTCATTAATCAATTGTGTAGAGAAAATTGACACATTTTGCGACTTTTGTACAATTACAAGTTTATAATATGCATCCCAATATCTAATGGTTATTGCACAACATAGTAACCAATAATAATAGTAGTACAAATATATTACATTCTCCATCTTTAGAAGTCGATGATCAATGTGCAGTACGATTAGGAAATATGACAACTATTCGGTAGTCCAAACAATTAATAAATAACGTTTGTGTCATGTAAAAATTAATATGGTACGGGTCATTTAGGCGAATTGCAGTCCAACTGCGCCACTCACCCGAGTACGTGCTAGTAAGAGATTTACCAATTCACAATCCACCCACATCAATCATCAATGCAGTTTAGACTATTTCTACGTGAACTGTGTCAAACCGTGAATAACCACCCACGGGTCCACTCCTAACACGAGCAAACTAAAATGAAACTACTGGACAAATCTTGAGAAAATTATAAACTTTTGCACCGTCCAAATTAGGAAAGGAGGTTGGGTCCAAAATTGTGTTGGTAACTTGGTGTGCATTTTATATTCCAAACTTCAAAATAAATAAGCACCAATCGAACACTTTGTTTACATCAACCCGAATAAGATCGATGAGATTGAGAGTATCCATTTAATTTATCTTATGTTGGTGGTCAATGACATAACTTCGATATCAAGCCATAGAGTATACTATATATGACAAAAGCAAAACTATCTATCGACGAAAAAGAATAGATTAGATTTTTATAGATCACATGAATTACGTGTTCCAACGGCAATTTTGACGTTCTACGTACCTTCTTGTCATCTTGTTAGGGTTAAGAATAATCAATTACAGAACTGAAACGTCTTATGATGTAATGAGATCAGAACAAAAAGATGGTAGAAGACTTGATATATAATTAGTGAATCTTTTTTCAGCCTAAGCGTGTTTGGTCTTTTGTTCAAACTGAGGCCAGCTGCTACTTAAGCAAGGCTGAAGATAATAAAAATAAATAGTCTTGTTGTTTCTGCATAGATACTGTATCTCCTTCCTAATTAAGGGCTACTCTTTTATTAGCCTTTGGGTGGTTGAGTTCGAAACTATAAATCAGCTCAAATCCTTTTTTGCATCAACTCACCCATTTTATTATGAGCAGAATAATTTTGGGTTGCAAATTCCAAAATAGGTCACCCACTAAACATTATAAACTTTTAAATTTAAAGCAATTTGAACTAGTTGAAGAAGTTTTTATTAGAATTTTGGTGGTAAAACTATCCACCACCAAAATTGAGTCCATTCTGTGTAAAACTACCCAATGCTCTCGGATATCAATTACCAACTTGTCTATTCTGATAGGTTGTTCGCCAAAGTGGAAGACGATTATAATAATTTTTTTTTTCTGTTGAATCAGTTGTTTTTATTTCTCAAAGAAAGGTAACCAATACAATGAAAGGGATTTCCAAGTAGGATGTCCCCAGATGTATGATTATAATAATTTGTCTGTTCATATTGAGTAGGGATGGCAACTTTGCCCATACCCATGGGCTTCTTACTATCCAACCCAATTGGGTTGGGTATGAAATCCAAATAGATGGATATGGGTAGAGTTTGATGGGTTTGTACTCATGCCCATTTACTTTGGGTTTAGTTGGGTTTATATCAAATGGATTTGGGTTTGTACCCATGCCCAAATACAAATTACAGTTTGGTACCCAAACTTAATAGATATGCATATTTAGTACCTAAATTTATTTTTTTTTGCATATAAGTCCTCAAAATATCGATGGGAAATTACGTTTTGTAACCTAAATTTTTTTGGTCTTACATTTTGGTACCTAAACTTTTCAAGTTTTGCAAATAGGTCCAATTTTTGCATGTGTAGTTAAAACACCCTCAAGTAAATGGATATCCATATCCAACCCATACCCATTTAGATTATGGAAGCCCCAAACCGAAACCCATCTATAAACCCCCAAATCCATATGCACTTAACCCATACCCAACCCATTATCAATGGTTCTGCTTGGGTTTGGGTATAATTACCCATGGGTGGGTAATTTGCCATCCCTAATATTGAGTAGAAGTTAAAATGAAAATGTTAGAGTTGTTTCCAAGGTTTGGATTGAGTTGTCTGAATTGTATAAACCGGAGAGATCCAACCCTAGCAAATTAGTGCACGATCGGTTAATGAAATAGACATGTTAACTGCATGGACAAACTAATCGTATATGTTATCTAACCAACGGCATTTGTTTATACAGCGTATATCTAACCTAGATCTATTAATTATTTCGTTTGATGAAATAACCATAATAGTTAATTCTATTAAGTTTCCAACTTAATATGATTTGGTGAACTTACCAACTTGAATACAAGTTGGTGAACAATTTAAGAGGACTCTCCTCGATTTCTAATATTCACTTGAGATAGGAGAAATAAGAGATAAAAGGATGCCTTATATTGCTCCGCAACCTAGATTATTTTAAAAAATATATGTTGTTTTGAATATTATATAAATTTTTTGAAAATTATATAAATTGGGTATATGATTTTGTAGAAGATGAATAGTATTTTGCAATTTCTATTATTACAAATTAACAAATGTGTTTCTCTATTACCTAAGTTCTAATATTAACTAAATAACTAATTTTTTACCCGGCCTGTTGGCCGTGAAATTTTATTTTATTATTTATATAAATGAATGTCTCTATATGCTCAAAATCTTTTGCATCTTCTAGTTGTTATGCTCTCCCTTTATAAGTGAGTATGAGATATGTCTATATTAAAAAATCTCAATACTTAGCACAATAATTTATGATGTTTCGATTATCTAATCATATTGTGAAGGTTTATCATGTCCCGTCTAAAATAATATATTAATATTTTTCAATCAAGACACTCAAATTTTATTATCTTATATAACATAAAATAATTTATGATTCTCGAGTTAGGACAAAGTCTCAACCAATTATTAAGAGTTAAAATTATTGGATAAAAATACTTGATTACTAGATAAATTTTCTCTATCTCAAGTGAAACTTGACACACATCGTACCCTTCATGATGATCAAATTATCTAATCTTAACTCATTTTTATGTGAATGTTCATGAAGTCTCGATTGAGGATCTTGTGTTAAAAATTTCTATCAAGACACTCAAGTTTAGTATCTTATACTATATGTGTTAATTGCTAATTATTTAAGTTTGGACTAACCCTCATTTGTACCTAGACACTGGGTCGTGCTTGGTCTGACACGTCACATGGACGCTTCTGCAAGTTTATCTCGAGCATGCTTAGCACGACCAGTTAGTTTTTGTGTCGTGTCAGTCCATTTTTTAAATTCGCAAGGCCTGACCTGGGTCTGGGCACGGTTTGAACGGTTTCGTATCTACTCACATGTCATGCTCATATTCGTCCTTAAAGGACCAATAGAAAATAAAAGATGGAATGTAAAAGAAGGAGAATATTAGACAGAGAATGAAAAGTATTAATTAACAATGTTTGATAAAAGTAACAAATACGAGAGAAGAAGAAAATTGAAAGTATGAACCGGTGTGATTAGTCTTTTTTTTTAAAACTCTTTGACCATTTTTTACGTATGATAGAAATTAAATATGTACCTTGTGATCACTTCTAACAAAAAAAAAATCTGGTTTTATTTTGTAATATTTGGACTTGTAATTCATTTTATATTTATTTTCTATCAAATAAGTATTTTTCCGTGCCATGTCCGACTTATACTCAATAGGGTCTCAAAAATATTAGATTCGACACTTCCCACATATAGACCGTCTTGTGCTCGTGCCCATGAAGTTTATGCCTTACACGATACATAAATTATTAGTGCTCGTGCGGGGCTAGTCCACATATTTCGTGCATGTGTCATGCTAGCCCGTTGGCAACCCAACCCAATGCTCAGGTTCACTATCATCTCATGGTTATTTTCTTTATATAGGCTGAGAATCGCAATCCAATACACTCACACACACTATCAACGGTTCTCGTCTTAACATGATCGTTAAAAGTAAAATTTTCCATCTCTTTGGAACAAGTTTTTTATTACTTATTTTAATAATTTATAAAGTGTGCCTACACTCTACAACACACAATAAATTTAGGTGCATTTAAAATATCGTATGGCGTGACAATTAATTTATATTTTAACAAGATTTTGATTTTTAATAGATTTTTTATATTCATACAAACATTATGACATTTCGCATTCATGTGAATTCTTGAATGTATTGTAGACACAACTATTGTAAATATCTAAGCATATCTAAAGAATTTAGTTTACTTTTTAACCCTAATTAATACATTTTTATGTGGCTTGGATAACTAGATGTAAATACAAATTGCTTACTGTTACATATATGGAGAAGCACACATGGCTGGTTTCGAGACTTAAAATCCCTGATACCCAAACCTCCTTCCATTTTTGGCCTAGCAACAAATAACCAAGCAACAGGAGCTCTCTTCCTGCCTCCATCTTCCCCCACACCCCATAGAAACCGATTACATATTGCCTCCACTTCTTTTAGAACCTTCATTTGCAAACAGAAAATCGCCATCCCATACTGAAGAGTGATTGTAATCACAGCAGAGATCAACTGCAATCTGCCCACATAGCCGAGATATCGAGCTTTCCAACTTCTGATCTTTACTATGGTCCTATCAACCAGCAGCTGACAGTCAGCAGAACTTAACTTTCCAGTTACAAGTGGCACCCCCAAAGGCCGAACTGGAAATTCTCCTAATGGGAACCCTATTGTGCGTGAGATAAATTGCTTCTCATCATCCAAAATTCCAGCATAGTAGAGATTACACTTAGCCATATTGCACTGAAGCCCTGAAATATGATAAAACTGGTCCATCAACCTTCGGATACCAGCAACAGCTCTCACTGACCCATTGACAAATACCAGAAGGTCGTATGCAAAGTGTGTTATCTACAATGCCTTACACTTCAGATGATGAGGTATTTGTTGATTCTCAACCTCTCTATTTCGGTTATTACCTTCTCCATTACTATGTCTCATACAGACAAGAAAAACACTCCATTGCCACTGTAAATAGATACGGGGACAAAGGGTCTCCCTGTCTGATCCTTTTACGCCCTTGAAAATAGCCACCAATCGCCCCATTAAAAGAAATACTGAACATGGGACATCACACAAGATTGAATAAGTCTAATGAACCATAGAGGAAACCTCATTGACGCAGTCGAAAAACCCAAAAGAACTCGCAAGCGCCGAGCTCCTCAAACAAACAAACTTGCAAGCCGCAAGCTTAAGGAAAAACCCAGAAATCCACTGGGAAGAAAACCCTTAGGTTTACTTGATAATTAAAATCCAAAAGTTGGGTTCTTACACGTGAACGGAAGGTCTTTAAATACTAGTCTTACAAGCAACCCTTAACCGAAACCTATAAGGAAAACTACAAATAATAATGATAATGAAACAAATAAACATAAAGCATCCTTCGTCATGCAGCTTCACGTATCCACGCCTTCCGTCCTGGTGCGCTGGCTCTCCATACGAATAGCTTAATCAAGCTTGGCCTCCAGCTGCGCTGCATCAATCTCCTCCACCCGCAAAGAACTCGACCACGAGTTCGGGCTAAAATATGGAGCATCATCCGCATGGAACTCGTAAATGTCAACGACATTGAAAGTGTTGGAGATGTTCATGGAAGCGGGCAAATCAACAACATATGCATTATCATTAATCTTCTTGAGCAACGTAAAATGACCATACTTACGAGGCTGCAGCTTGGAGTAAGTTCCAACAGGAAACTGCTCCTTGCATAAAAATACCATGACCGAATCACCCACGCCAAACACCTTCTCGCGGCGGTGCGCATCATCAGCCCTCTTGTTCTTGAGCCCTGTGGCCTTGAGCTTCGCCTTGACGTCATCCTTTATAGCCTGCACGTCACGAACCATGGCCTCAGCAGCTTGGCTCACCCCGGGTGCTTTGGGAAGGTCGATCAAATCCACCACATGTCGAGGTGGGGTAGTGTAAACAAGAGAGAAAGGTGACTTTCCGGTAGCTGAATGTACAACACTATTGTATGCAAACTCCACCTGTGGCAATGCCAAATCCCATTGCTTCGGTTTGTCCCCGCAAACACTCCGAATCATATTACCCAACGTCCTATTAGTTACCTCGGTTTGGCCATCAGTCTGCGGGTTAGCGGTAGAACTTCGGTAAAGTGATCCAGAAATGACTAAGAAACTTGGTATCACGGTCAGAGGTGATAGATTTGGGGACTCCATGAAGGCGGACAATCTCTTTAAAGAACAACTTCGCAATATTGGACGCATCCGCCGTCTTTTTGCAGGAAATAAAATGTTGCATCTTAGAGAATCTGTCAACCACCACAAATACTGAATCCACACCTCGATGGGTGCAAGGCAATCGCAGGACAAAATCCATGGAGAGATCCAGCCATATATCGTCGGGAATGGAGAGTGGCATATAGAGGCCTGTGTTCTGCTATTGTCCTTGGAAACTTGGCAAACATCACAACGCTTAACAATGAGATTGACCTCACGGCGCAGATGATGCCAGAAAAATTGATCCTCCAAGCTTGCTATGATTTTATCGCGTCCAAAATGACCCTCGAGCCCGTCGCCCTGCAAATCGCGGATCAGCTTCTCCCGCAATGATGAATGAGGGACACAAAAACGATCTCCTTTAAATAAATATCCATCACGGATATGGTAGTCGGTGATGGGATGTTGGCTGGTGCATTTAAGTCATAACTCGGCGAAGTCAGGATCAATAGCATACTGGTCTTTCAACTAGTCAAACCCGATAATCTCTTGTGCCAAAGTAACCAGCAAGGAAGTGCGCCTACTTAATGCATCCGCAACCTTATTCTGGACGCCGGACTTGTCGTGGATTATGAAAGGGAATTTTTGTAAATAACTCACCCATCGGGCATGCATCTTTTAATGATCTTCTGACTATGGAGATACTTCAAGGCAAGATGATCAGTAAACAAGATGAACTCCTATTGTATAAGGTAATGCTCCCATTGCCGTAGAGCACGAAAGACCGCATAAAACTCCTGATCATAAGTGCTCCATTTCTGTTGGGCTTCACTTAGCTTCTCGCTGAAGAAGGAAACATGCCACTTTTCCTGGGAGAGAATAACGCCTATTCCGACCCCGCTGGCATCACACTCGGTTCAAGGGTACGCGGAGAGAAGATTAGTTCCATGGGGAAGTCTTTTATGGCAGTGAGTTGTGGGCGGGCATTGAGCTGCTGGCCAAGGAGTAGGGATCTCAATTTTGCTTATACTAATGGGTATTTTACTATCCAAACCAATTGGTTTGGGTATAAAATCCAAATAGATGATAAATGGTAGAGTTTGGTGGATTTGAACAGATACCCATTTATTTGCTGAATCACTATTCGTCGCCCTAAAATTCAAATTTCATCGCCCTAAAATGTAGCAAATTGACACTCCTACCCTCCGGTCCCATTTCTAACAAAAAATCAAAATAAACATTCCCTTACCTTGCCCAGCCGCCATCGAGCTCCTCTGTCCTGTGGGCTGCGGCCGCAACTGTCATCATCAGATTCTTCTCTCAGTAACCGCCCACCTCAACCCGACCGCCGCAGGTGCTCCGTTTCTACCGTAAAGGAGGAAGAAGACTATATATGAATGAATGACTAAATTCCAAAAATGACAAAAATAAAAGTAAGAGCCTGTTTCTCAAGTTCCCTTGCACGAGCTTCTTCTTCTGATGGTGATGATTCTGAACTCGGCAACTGTTGGAATAATTATGGGTCGAAAAGTAATTAAGAATTGTTGGAATAATTGAAAACAAGGGTAAACAGGTAAACGGAGGCGCAAGAAGGAGGTTGACGCCCTCTCTGTCTTACTATTGAGAATTCTTCTCGCCGTCCCCCTACCAACCTCAACCCGACCACCACCGCTTCCCTACTGCTGCTGTCGGTTTTTTGTGTTGTGGCCGAGCAAGAGGAAGGACATGAAGGAGGAAAGTTTTAGGGTTAGTTTCTTTATTTTTTTTCATTTCCATACGCTGGACGTGTTGAAACTCTGTCTCCGGCGAGGCTGGGAGGGTTCATGACCCGTCCCAACGACAAGAAAGAGAGAAGAGACTCGGTTGAAGGCAAGGAGGAGGAAGAAGAAGGCAAGGTTATTTGAGTCATTTTAATAAAAATTAGGGCGACAAATAAGGTGTTTTACGGCGACGAATAGCAATGCCCTTTATTTGGATTGGGTTAAATTTTTAATCCATGGATTTGGGTTTGTACCTATACTCATTTGCAAATTACAGTTTGGTGCTTATACTTAATAGATCTTTAAATTTAGTACCACAAATGAATTCTATGTCCTCAAAACATTGATGGAAAATTTCATTTTAGTACCTAAAATTTTTTGTGTCTAACATTTTGATACCTAAACTTTTTAAGTTTTACACATAGGTCCAAGTCTTTGTATCGTAATTAAAACACCCTCAAATAAACGGGTATTCATCCTCAACTCATACTTATTTAGATTATGAAAATAATATACATACCCTACCCAAACTCATCTTCAAACCCCCACACTCATTTATACTTCACCTATACCCTACACATAATTATCAATGAGTCTACTTGAGTTTGGGTAAAATTACCCATGGCCTGTAACCTGGGATAGGAGGAAAAATTAAACATCAATATGAAAATATGAATATATAGTTGTTATTTTATTCTTGAAGTTCAAGTCTAATAGAAGTTCATCTTGAACTTTCCTCATTGCACTCAAACTCTCTGGTGTTGTCTTCTCTATTTGCATCAAGTATTTCTGAAGAGTCGATGCGGCTTTAAGTGCTTCATTTTGCAGACCGGTTCCAAAGGTGTTGAATCGTCATCTCCTTCATCGTCAATTGAACCCTCAATGACATCATCTACAATTTCTTCTAACATTTGTGTCGTGATACATTCATCAAATATTCGATGAATTATATTGAATGTCTGATCAATGAATATAGGGGTGCAAGTAATTTAAAACATGAATCTAGACCATCTACAAAAATACATCGAATACATTTATCTTGGAAGAATACATGATTTTCTTCTATTTAGTACAGTGAATACGTAGAATGCGATAATTTATCGTATGAACTAGAAATGTTTGAAAAATACGATGAACATATATCATAAGAAAAACCTCGTTAAATAATAGTTATTAATTTATAATTAATTAATAAATACTATAAATTAATAATTTTCACGGTCGGGACTATATTAATTTATAGAGGTTAAACTGTAGTTCCTTTCTGGGTGATGTACGGGTAAGCATTCATTAATCCACCTGCCGCAACGGAGAGCAGCACAACAAGTACGAAAACAATATAATGAATAATTTGGAAGTTGTAATTGTTATCATGAGATTGTTATTATACTTTTATTGTTTAAAATGTATTGTTTTTTTATTTTACATACACAATATATTAATTGTTTCCTATGATATGACAAACTATAACTCAAAATCAATGATTGATTGATATATCTCAAATTTTAGTTGAGATTATTGAGATAGTTGAGTTGAGATTGTTTACATGTACTTTTGGCTGATGTGACATAAACCATCACACTTACCAAACGTTGTATTTTACAATGCATCAAATTCTATATGTCTTCACAACAATATTTAACAATAGTATCCTTCAAACAACTCCTACGTTTCTATGAACAACAATGGGGAACATTCGAGCAAATTAAATAACGATGAAATTCAACTTTACATAGCAATTCATTCACAACAATTACACAATAAAATCCCGACCATGAAGTGGGGACAAAAATATGATATCAAACTTATCGAATTAAGAGGGCATGAATAATGAAATGCCTCTGAAACCCAGTGGTGGGGGGAAAAAATAGTTGACCAACAGCACTAGTAATTCAACCCCACCACCAAAGAAAAATTGAAGAGCCTGATATATATAGAACAGGAAAGGAAAATACTTGAACAAACTGATCTGTAGATCCAAATCCAATTCAAACCCATTGATTTTGGAGAGGTTCAACATAGATCCAGTTGGTTCAAGTATTTCTTCCTGAAAACATGCATTGACAACATTTACAATATGGACCACAAATCCATACAAACATAGGAAGAGAAGACTACAACCTCCAAAAAGGGATCTGGAGCAAGCATCGGACTGTGTATTTCAGCACGTGGGCGCTGAGCTGGCTGGACGCTTTTAAGTAGTATTCAAATTTCACCGGCATCAGATGAACTTGAGAAACGCCAGCCTCAGATTTTTCACCAGCTCTATCACTGTCACGGAGAACTCACCATCCATCTGCAATATAATAATGACCCACATCAAATATTACTGTGTTAACTAGGGCTGGCATATTGGTTCGGGTTTTTTGCTTTTATCCGAAACTGGACCGTATAACAAGGATCGAGACCGAACAGCCATCCGATAATAAACAATCCAATCCAATTTTTGGACTTAGATTTGAGGTAAATAATCGTTCGGGACCGGATCGAAAACTGGATAAAGACCGGATAAGAGAGCTCAACACCAAAAACTTAAGGGTAATTTGCATAAACGGTCACAAACCTTTGCACTTAGTACAAAACTTAACCAACTCCTCTCCCTTTCAGGCCTATCTCCACAAGCTCAATATAAAATCAGGACTGAATTGGGACCGGACCGGGTCAAGACCAGACTGGATTGTATCCAATCCAATTTTTGGTCCTTATATTTTCAAAAAGATCGGACTGGACCGCATCAATTTTGAGCCAATTTAACCGGACCGGACCGTATAACCACCCCTAGACTGTTAAATTGTACGTTATGAAATTGACTCAAATTTTTGATTGAATTATACATGAATAAGATAGTTAGTTAGTTAGTTACCTGAGCCACGATGGTGATGTCGAGGGTGGAGTTGCCGAACGGCAGCACGCTGCTATTGACGATGGACAGATGCAGAGACTCGACCTCGGTCAGGACCTTGGCGAGCACGCCAGGCTGCTTCTCGCAGTGGATGCGGATCATGACGTCCCTCTCCGACGCCCTCGCTTCGATCTCCGGCAGCGTCGAGTCCGAGCAACATCCGGCCTTCTCAACTTTGCTTTTGCTGTCGTCGTCGTCGTCGTTGGAAGAGGAATTCGAGTCGTCGTCGGCAGGAAGCTGGTATCTCTTGACGAGAACCACCGACTCCACGGTTCTCTTCTTGGTCTGCTCCTCCAGCTGTTTGATCTTCTCCTGGAGATGCTTCACGTACTTTATCGCGTCTCCCAGCACCGAAGCTTTGTCCATCTAGTTAATTAATCAAACCCATTAATTAACAAACATCGCCAGTTAATTAATTAATTTCTCCTTCTGGTCATTGTACTATCGGGGGAGGATCGAGTCTGGTTGCTTACGGATTATCGTTCTTTATTATTATCTTATCTGTATAGTCCTGAGAAAAAAACAATTTGTTACCTTCTTGAGGCCAGGAACAATGGAAGAGAGAGCAATGAACCTCTGGCTGAGCTTCTCCCTGCGCTTCCTCTCGGCCAAGATGTGGTCCTGAGCGTGGGAAGGGCTTCTGGTGGTGGTGGCCATGGACGAAACGGGGCGAGTCTTGATCATATACTTTGGAGCGTAGACGGTGTTCTCGAAAGGGTCGGCAAGGTGGTGGTGGTTGTAGCTGTTGCTGATCGGAGGGTGGAAAAGCAAGTCAGCCGCCTCCTCGTCTTTGGGCTTCGTCGCCGTGTTGTTCAAGTTTCTGGAGAAAGGCAGCTGGAGGGAAGAAGAAGAGGTGGAGTTGGAGTTGGTGTTGGAGTTGTCGAAGGACAGCATTTGAGAGGAGTGGGATGAAGAGAAATCGATGTGGTGGTGGTGGAGGTTGTCGGTGGTCACGCTGGAGCTCCAGCTGTTGGTCTTCTTCTGCTGCTTTGTCGGCCGGCAGCTGTGGTGGTGATCGTAGGTTTCGTTCATGGAAGAGCCGCTTCCGGTTGCGGGGACCACGGTGGAAACGGCGACGTTTGGAAGGGTGGCTGTGTGATGGTGGTGGAAGGTGGCAGAGGAGTAGCTCTCGGAGGAGAAGGATGGCTGGAGGAGGCTGGAAAGGGATTCTCCGGCGGCGGCGGCGGCAGACACGTGGAGCTCATGTGTTGTTGGGTTGGTGTTGATGAAGTCGTCATCCTGCAGCTCAGAGTTGATTGCCTCGCAGTGCTGGAAGAACTTGTAGTCCTCCATTTCTTGCTGGAATTTTGAACCACAACAAAAAAACAATTAGCTTGGAAATAAAGAAGAAGAAAACAATAAGGGAGAGGTAATTAATTATGAATGGAAGATTGTTGCATATATACCAGATCATTGAACCATTTGCTATCCATTTGAGGATCCTTCCAAGTTATCTATCTTCCTGGCTTCTGAAGAAAGGAAAAGACAGAGATGTATGAGGAAGAGATTAATTAGTAAGCTGATGATAGATTAATTCATTCTTCTGAAGAATTGTAAGAAGAGGCTATAGCCATTTTTCTTCTGTACGTGTATATAATAAGAGAAGGGAGGGGCTGGGTTTGGAGTGAAATATGAAATCAATTCTTCTCCAGCCCACGTGTGAATTAGCATCTTTTCATTACTAAAATAATATTAATGTTGCAATTGGTTGGCTAGTTAATTTGTCTCCATTCTCTTGCATTTTCTTTGTTGGGCTAGCTAATTATATTTATATGGGGTTTGCTTGAAATAAGGTCTAATAACCAGCCTAGTCACTCCTATTCCCGTCAACATTCAACTATATCCTCCAAGGAAGGAACAGAGAGTGATAACTGATGTGTATTTTTGTAAGGATGAACTCATTTTACCGATGAAATTAGGAAATTAAATTACAGGTAAAAGAGCTAGGAAGAGACGACACAACAGTCCGGAATTCGTTTCGAAACGAGTACCTAATCTTGCTTTAGGTATTGCGAGGTTTCCATGTAATCTTATAAACGTGTGTAGCATCTAGAATAATTTGAGGACTAATGGGACGAAATAGTTGATTAGACTAAATTTAGAGGATCAGATGGTAATTAGCATTAATCAACAATTGTTATGCACATCTGCCAGTTTGTCAGTACTCCAATGTAGGATGAGGTCTCCGATACCTTTTTTACTTTTGTTTTGTTATATTAAGGTATCAATCCATTTAAAGAAGAGTTTTCCATTTTGATAAGAGGAGATGAGATGGAGACATGGTCATTTAGACCTACGGAAAGATGGGACGAATGGGAAAACCCCCTCGACTTTATGTTTGGTGGAGATTTTCGTATCCAGGAAAATTATTTTGTATTCCGAATGCTCATTTTTTATCCCTTTAAATACACAATTATTAATATTGCCAGTCCATTGTTATTTGTTATCCCTATTGTATATATATCTTATATAATGGGCTGATATGATTGCTAATCAGGATGGTTTTAGTCAACTTGTTTTGCTTAAATGGGTCCTAATCATTTGGTTTTAAGTACTTGCTTTCCACTATCATATCTTCCACAGAATTCCAACCTCCAATTGCTAACAAGTGGTTAACTAGCCTGATTTTTCTCCTGAAAAGGCACAAAATACTACCCAAAAAAGTGCATCAAACCCGCAAAAGCAATCCTAAACTTTGGTAGAACATATACTTGAAGCAAACATAACACAAATTCAAGGTATATAATGATGGGATACTGTATGCACTTTGGGCATAATATGGGGTCTAGAATAGTCATTTCTACCTGTCATCATTAGGCTATATCCTCGTACGATGTGATACGTGAAAATTTATTATGCAATAGGGTATTGCAATGATTGGGGTTATAAGTCGTGACTCAAGGAGAACCCTAATCACCAAGAAGCCTCCCTTCTTCGCTTTCGAGCTCTCTTTGAGTGTGCTTGGACAATTAGGATAATCTGCGTATATATAGAAGGCAATTACTTAGTAGATTGCCTAGTTTGAAATGGTCATTCAATACCCTTAACTAGCCAAGTCGTTTCTATTTTTATTCAGATATTATACATTTGGCCATATATGATCGAATTGGTGGAGCGATGCCCCCAACATATATTTTGCTAATCTGAAGTAGAGTTACTCGCACCATTTGAATTAAAAAAATATATATCATTGGTGTTAAATCTAGAGGTTTCAGGTTCGAAACTCTTAAATAACAACTAACTAAAAACCAACCTATATTACCCTTATAAAAAAAAACTAGAAAAAATACATGCGCTCAAATGTGAAGCAGAAGACAAAAGGAGAAGACAAGATAACTTATTCTGCTATACCCATGATTTTCATGATCTTCAACAGAAAGTTTGTATATTGCTCTAAGTAATTAATACTTGTTATGAACGCGCTGCTACGGATCGGGAAATCGCAGGAATCGACAAAACAAGAATACGAAAGCGAGAATCGAAAACACGACACACGATTTACGTGGTTCACTAACACGATGTGTGTTAGCTACGTCCACGGGCGAGAGAGAGCCAGTTTCACAGATCGAGGAGATTACAGATTACAGAGGAGTATGAGAAGTATTTATAGTACTTCTCCAGCTTGAGCCCATACACCGTGGGCCGGGGCCGGGGGCAACGTTGCCCCTGGACCCCACTCGCTGACCGGGAGCTAGACCCCCGATTACCATTCGTAGCGGCTGATAGTCCGATTCAAGTCATATCAACAATACTGAACCATCGGGGTCAAACCCAATGCACAGAAATGGCAGTCATTTTTCTTCTGCTGGGTGGACAAGTTAAACCTGTGACAATGAACTGAAAGCACATAATTAATTAATAGACTATGCGAAGACTTATTCCTGCCCACATGGGTGTAAAACGTATATCCTTTTCCAAATTGAAATTATAGAGATTAGAGAAGACAATTGGATTTACAATAGCTTTTGTATGTAGCTCCACTCCAGCATTGGTTCTCCTTCCTTGTTGGAGAAACATGACTACTTGACAATTATTAGTAGGAAGTCAAGAGTACAATTTTGCCATTCTACATAGTTGTTGGCAGGTTTATCTCAATCACGAAGATCAACCCTTTACCCCCCAAAACTTGTTTCCAAACAAAAACCAAATGGAAAAATATATAGAAGGGCAAAAGTTCCAAAATAAAATAAGAAAGAATTGTGTATTTGCCAACTGAAGAAAACAGGACACCTACCATTGTTGTTTATAATCAAAATTTAGTATGTTACACAAGGGGGGAGGGCTATTATTTTTAGCATGGTCGATGAAACCATACTGTACCGGCGGTTCAAGTACGAAATACCTATGTCGGAAACCGGTAGACGGTATTTAACGGTCTAACGATGACAGAGTTGTGATCAAGACCAAGCTTCAAGGTGCAGGAAGAGAGTAGAGCTGCTGCAATCCTAGTTGCAGGAGGATTCCAGGAATGAAGAAAACAAAAGAAGAAAACGACAACGTTTAGCAGTCAAAGAAGAAGAAGAAGAAGAAGAGACGACAGCGTTTTATTAAAGCACAAGGGAGAAGAAGGAGAACACGACTGCGTTTCTTGTAGTAGTCATTAGTCGTTGAAAACACTGTTTATTTAAATGTTCTTGTCGAACCATAGGTAGACATCTGTCATGTTTTTGTTAAGCACTTTGCTTGCTATAAAAGAAAAGAGAAGACTCGGAGTTTTCTGAGCTTCCTTCCCCAATCATTTCTGCAAATTCATTAAACGGTTGAACTACGGTTAAACCACGGTTTTATCATAAAATATCATACCGTTGACTTTTCCGGTACGATATCCGGTATGATTTCATGGACCGTGATTTGACATGGATCTAAATATCATACCGTTTTTCCACAACTCTAGCTTCCGCTGCTTACAACAATTATAGCCTATAGTTAACTACAGTATATGCGGATTTCCATCTCACAATTTCAGTCGAAAGAAATGACAACCACAACTAACGTTTTGGTCCATGTTGAGGACAGTCTACGGGTTTAGTTGAAGTGGTCCTGAAAAGCTCATTGATCGATCACTAGATTAAGAGAAACAGGGAAAATCCAGTTAGATTATTGGTTAAGGTTGATGCTCCAAGATATGCAAACCAGAAGAAGACAACAAAAAAAACTATGGCCTTAAACTAATGGCTCTCCCCCACGAATGGGAGCAGTCAGGCCGGTCAATGAGGGTTCAGATGCCCCTAAGTTGGTAGAGATTCTCAACAATCTGGCCCTCAACTGCTAAAGATATGAGCGGCCCCAAGTGGACAGCCTTTGTCTTTTTCTTTGGAAGTGCCTCATTATCTAAGGGCTAAAACTAAAATGAGTCATTCAACGAAAAAAAAAAACTAAAATGAGTCCCCCCACCAAACCCCTCCCCTTCAGAATTCAAGAAGACATAAAAACTTAACACGAATATTTTCTTAACAACTCGACTCGAGTTTTTAGACTAGTAGATTTATGGTATGTTATCAGAATTTTCGAATGAGAAACCATGGTTTTGAAAATGTATGGTTATTCCATTATATACAATGATTTAGCACAATCCAACTCCATCAATTCCCCTGTTCCTCTGTTCTTCCTTCGAGTGACTAGGTTTCTCGACAGCAAACAACAGCAAACTTGAAAGGACGAGAGACTTGCAAGCTTGGACATTCAACCTCGTGGGTTTGGGGCTCATCATATCCACTCCCAACAGGTTATTTCAAAAACTAAACCGGTTCCAATTTCATTAGTACGACAACAGGGGACTAAAGACAGCAACAACTTCTCTGGTCAATCATAGGAAACATTCAGGGAGCTCGATAATGCAGGAATGAAAGGAGACAAACTTCGGGGGAAAAATCGCAGAATACTCTAATTATTTAAAAAAAATCCCTAAATACAGTACTTATAAAACTATTTTCCAAAGTACAGCAATTTCAACATCACTGTTGAAGAGTAAGACAGTGATTGCAATCACCGTTTTTGTCCAAAATGGTGATTGCATCACCGCTTTTAACTAAAACAGTAATGCCATCACCGTTTTGGACAAAAACGGTGAAGCAATCCCCGCGTTAGTAAAAAGCGGTGATTGTGTGACCGTTGATAAGGGAAACGGTGAAGCCACAATGATTGTTGATGTAGAAAATGGTGAAGTGGACGCGGATCGCTGACGTGGACGCGCGCGGGCGCTTCACCGCCAAATAGAAAAGCGGTGATAGCCCCGCCCGGCCACGTCACCAATCCTTGTCGTCCGCGCCCTTCACCGCTGTCGTTCGATGCGGTGAGGCGCGGATTGTGGTTTTTCTCCATGATCCGACACCTCACACAGGTCGCCACGTCAGCGGTCCGAGCCATCACCGCCTTCCTCCAACGCGGTGAATTCACTGCCTTCAACGAAAGCGGTGATTGGTTCCTGGAACATCTAAATACAGACATATAATTACTAATACATCAACATGTAAACAATACATAATTATAACATACCGAATCCCGATGAGTTTCTTGAGCAGTAAACCAACTCCAAACCAGCTGAGAAAACGACCAAAAAAACACTAATTTTTGTACTAATTTGCTGTAAGGCAGCAGGAGGGAAGTGGGGGTCGGGTATTTATAAGTAAAAATGCCAGCTAATCACTGTAGTGGACAATTGCGGTGAACACATCACCGTTTTTGTCCAAAACGGTGATAGCTAGGTCGCTGTGACCTAATTTTCCACCTACTAGGGCTCTAAAACGTGGTCAATTATCACCGTTTTGGATGGCAGCGGTGATACCTTCCCCGTTGTTGTCGAAAGCGGTGATGTGTTCCTCGTTGTTTTCGAAAGTGGTGATACCTTCCCCGTTTTAGACTAAAGCGGTGATTATAATCACCGTCGAAGACGAAGACAGTGATGTTGAAACTGCTGTATTTTGGGAAATAAGTTTATAAGTATTGTATTTAGGGAAATTTTTTTAATAACTTGAGTATTCTGTGATTTTTTCCCAAACTTCGGTACATTTACCGTCAGACTGTATGGAAAGAAGAGGACAATTTCCTGTTGTTTACGGCCATATTCAACACTCTTTTTATTTGTTTGTTCAACGCAATGATATGCTACATACATTACACTAGCTAATAATTGATGTACGCTCATTATAGTATTGATAGATTAGATTTGCTCTCTCCATTCTAAAATTGTTTCAAGCACCGACAGAACCAGAAGCGCCCCTAATTTCAAAGTGAAGAGCGTTAGATCAGTTCTACCACATTACAAGATTGTGAGATTGCATTCTCTACATGTCTGACATGATTTTCAAAGCCTCAAAACACGCACCCAATGTTCTTTGACATGCTAAACCTTGACATAATAGGGGAAAACGCGTCGTATCATAAAAATAAACGACGAGATGAAGCTTACGAGACAAATGGCCAATAAACAATTGAAATTATCTTGTATCTTATAATATCACTAACGAACTAGAATTAGCATGAAATCGTCCTAGGATGGTCAAAGTATGACGATTATTACACTCTAAAGCAGAAGAGATTAGGCATAAAATATGTATAAATAAAACGTTGTCAAATCCTGAAAAGATGAAGTCGATTAGATCGAGCCCGCACTTTCTCAAAACACAGTTTTGTTTCATGGCAGACGAACACGCCGGCTTTAAGAACATGTCCAATAGTAGCATTCGCTACTTTCCGGTCGAATTGTTGGGTGCAATAATCCTCCTTCGCATCCCATAATTGCACTCAAAATGGGACAGTAGCAAGATCATCGAGAAAACTTTCTTTGTGATGATGGGAGTCTTGGCTCGAAGCTGGAGGATTTTATCCTTATCACCCATGGCGCGCGTTTCAGCACCCAAATTTTGGATGACTCACTTGGGAAGTATGAATTCAAACAAATTCGCGCCCCGCCTCCATTACTCTAATTTGTCCCTTCCCCTACCAGGGTACGTTCAAAGCATCACGTAGTTCCATTGGTGTGACCTTACTGTCCGTGAAGAGAGAACTGCACCACCTTATCATCCATGATGTCTGCCCTTTTCCGAGATTCAGAAGAAGGTAGGGTTAAGGAAGTACAAATAATAGGAAGTGTAACGAGATATCGAGGGATCGAGGTAGTTGGTCAGGGTCACCCTTACTTGTTTCTTATTAGCCTCCTTTCCTTCATGGATGGATGGATGCATGTTGATCTTTATGTCCGCGAAGCCATCTATGATTATCCACACAAACCTCCAAAACCGCGAAGATCGCTGTCACTAAGAAACGTCCAGCGAGCCAGCACAGCTCGAGGAGAGAGGAGAGAGCTCCTCTCATAATTTTTTTCCCCCGAGAGATGGGTGACTTTGTTGTTAGTCGTTGCTGCAATTAGTGGCTCGATTTGGTGTGAGTAGTTGTGTCCTGATTGTGTGTACTTAATATTGGTTTTCATTTCAGTAAAATGATCATCAAGTTTGCCAGCCAATTTACTCTACAATTAGTTTTGGGTTAAGAAGCTATATATATAGATGGTTCTATCAAACTTGAAAAAAATCAGAGTGATGTTAGTTCGATTCTCGTGAGTGAATAAGAAAACTATTTTCAAGTTATCGTTAATTTCAGTTATCTTTGTGTTTTTCATATGAGTAGAAGTAGCATAGTGGTTCGATTTTTCGTTGTGTAGATCCCCTAAGGCACATCTACGTACAAGATTATCATCGAGATTCGGATCTACCATGTAGTGTCAAACTAAATCCATTAGCTTGGTTCACGAGTTGTTCTTGAACGGCCATATCCGACTCATGAGGAGGGGAAGAAATAGATCTATGGATTTCGCAACTAGGGTAGAGGATGAGATCTTAGACTCCGTAGCAAATTTCTCCTGCAGAGAGAACCAAAACTATGTCTCCCTTTCACTCTTTCTTCAAGGTCGCAGAAAAAAAATCGACAGCGCCAGAGAAGAAGAACAAATTGGGCTAACTGAAATGAACCTGCAAGTTTGTGGCTGAAGAAAGCTAGAAGAAGTTCCCTCCATTCGCCTCCCGGGAGCCGCACGCTAAATTAGATGTCATGGTCTTCATCTTCAATCTTAAAGATATTTATTGACTAGACCAACATTGAAAATTATATAGATTTACTCGTTGTTGTTATAGGTATTTTTTTACAGATTCCAACCTGAGACCTCTAGTTTCAAGACTAGTGGAGAGATGGAAAGTGAAATTTTATGGGCATCATTTGGACGGATCAATTGGACAATGAAACAATTTGGTCACTTGTCTCATTATATAAAACGAGTCATTTAAAACGGATCAATTGAATTACCTGACCTCAGATAATTATAATTGTCCCAAAATGAGTTGATTCCAAATTTCTCAGGCCAAATTGTTTCATCCAAATTTTAGCCAAATGGGTCAATTTGGACCAATTATCTCAAAAGAGTCAACTGGGTCACATTGCTCCGTTAATTCCTCAACCACACGATCCTGGATTTTAAAAAATTTATAAAAAAATAATTTATTTTTTTGTTCTATTTTTATTCTGAATCTATTTTGAAATTCCTTAGTAATCAAAAGAGTCATTTTCTATGATAAGCCTCTAGAAAATCCCCTGTCAAACCCTAAACAGCTCCCGCAAAGGGTACTCAATGGTGCATTTAGGCGGCTTTTCATGAGCCACATCCACCTATAATTTCCGGGTGAGACTGAGAGTGAGTTGCCTGAAAATTTTGCTCCCAAGTAAAAGGTTTAAACAGACTAATGGAAACCATGCACAAATCTGCAGTTACCGCCCACATCTGTTCTTAAGTTTCTTTTCTGTGTCGTCCTCCCTTCTTGTGCTTGCACAAAGTAATTTTCTGTTTGTCAACTCTACTGGAAAAGTAATTCTCCAGTCCTAGCCACGGCAGAACAGCATATTTAGGTTAGTTTACCAAAGGCCAACGCTGCAAAGAGAAACACCTCCAAAAGGCACAAGGCTTAACTAGTGCTGCTTTCATTACAATAAACATAGCATTTCTAGCTACAATCTCGGTCCACCAAAAACCTCTTGAGAATACAGTGGTTGAAACCAAGTGAAGTTTCAAGTTCAGAACCTGCACGCTGCCAAAGTGGCATGCACAGTTAACAGAACCTTGAATATCCACAACCAACAGTCAACGCTTATTCCTGGTGAGAGCAAGCAAAATCCCAAGAGTGAAGGATCAACTATTGATCCTTTTCCTGGGTCCAAATCTTCACAGTTTTGTCGTTGCCAAGTGCACCAGATGCGATCATATTCTGCGTCGGATGACATGCTACGGATATCACAGTGTCAGTATGCCCTTCCAACTTCTGCATTATTTTCCGGGTCTGGAGTTCCCACAGGTATACACAATTGTCTTCAGAGCCGCCAACAATGTACTTCCCATTTGTTATTGAGAATGCTGATGAAATGCAGAACTTGGAGTTTGTGTGGCCTGTGTATGTTTTCAGGAACTTCCCAGTTGAAAAGTTCCATAGCCTCTGCAAGCAAAACCCCAGAAACGTGTCCATATTATAACATGGAAAGACTATAAGAAATTCTTGTTATAAGGTCCTCAAGAATCAACACTCAGGAAATTCAAACCCCCTCGGTGTACTGATTAAACTGGGTACACAGAAACAATAAACAGCCTACACAAAATGAGATTTATGAACTCTCATCCATCTACCAGCTCCTAACAAAGAACTAAACAAATTGAGCATGAGGATAGCAAGCATGCAACTCAAGAGGACATGGAAGAGAGAAAAGCAACGGTAAGCAGAAACTCGCTAGTGAGTTTATCGGATGACATCCCCTGCTTTATTTATGAATCAGAAATTTGCAGCAAAGATAGCACCAGTCCAACAGATTACCAAGGGAAAACAAGAACATACATAAAATGCTTAAACAATAAAACAGCAGAAATGTTAACTCAGAAAGTTCTTCCTCAACAGGAACTAAAAGAGGTTAAGACAGCTGAGTTATCTGTCCGACAAAAAAGACCAACCCAAGCAAAACTTTTGACCTAAACTCTCCACATCCATAGCTTTCTTCCCCTTGGAAATAGGCCACAACCATTGCTCACCAAACAAGCGGCAGGAAGCATCAACAAAACCAAGCAATAGCACGAATAGAACTTGGTAAAATAATGAAGTAAGCGGTTGCTTTTCTTCTGCAAGATATGCGCACGAGCAACTTTAACAGCAAACCACACAAGCTAAGCTACCTCTAAAGATCGATATCGAAGGCCATTGCATAATAAACCAGTACAACACAGTAAATCCCGGGGCATTAAGAACAGTGACTCCCCAATCCCACACAACTTTATCTCATGAACTCAAACCCCCAAACAGAACCAATTCGCATCAAATGTGCCACAAATTGAAATAGGTGACAAGAATATGGTTAGGAGACTCACCAAAGTATTATCAAGGGTTCCAACGAGAATGAACTTGCCGTTGGGAGAAAACCTAACAAACGAAACGGGAGGGTTCTCATCGTCAATCAGAGTCTTCAGACAATGCCCAGTCCCGGAATCCCAAATCCGGCACAACCCATCGTAGCTACTAGAAACGATGAGGGACCCGTCCCGGTTGAAATCGACGGAGGTGACGGGATCGGAGTGTGCAGGGAGAACCTTCAGGCACTTGCCGCTCTTGACGTCCCAAATCCTGACGGTCTCATCAAAGGAGCCAGAGACGATCATGTTACTCTGAGGGTTGAAATTGGCGCAGAAGACGTAATTGGTGTGGCCGGTGAAGGACTTGATGGAGGATCCCGTGGTGACGTCCCAGAGGCGGAGGGTTTTGTCATCGGAGGCGGAGACGAGGAAGCGGGAGTCGGCGGAGAAGGCGACATCGGAGACGCCCTGCTGGTGGCCGTGGAAGTCGTGGACGTGGGTGAGAGGGGACGAAGGAGGGTTTGATGGGGAGAGGGAGTAGGTGCGGAGGGTTTTGTCGGCGGAGGAGGAGACGAGGAGGCGGCCGTCGGAGGAGAATTTGACGGCGGAGAGAGGGCGTTTGTGGCCGGTCAAGGTTTGGGTTAGGGCGTAGGGTTTGAAGGGTGGCGATGAGTCATTGGCGACATCGGACATTTTCTCTTTCGTTTGGGTTTCTTCTGAGTACAGGAACGGAGATGGATAAGAATAATAAAGAGCTTAGAGTTGGGCTCTTCCGCAAACTTTCAATAATAAAATGTCAGGCAGCGAGGAGTACAACCGACTCGCTAGATTGAAACCAGCGCACCAACCGAGTCGAATCGACTCGAGTTTTTCTTATTTTGAACTTGGCTCGTTTACAAATTCTTCAATCAATAATTATTTATTGGCCAATTTTTATTGTTTGCTTGAACTTTTTGAGAAATGTGTTTCCTTGATGGTTATTTAGCTACTTATATCTTCAAATTCATCAAATGAGAGCTTATTATTTGCTTGAACTTATTGAGAAATGTGTTTCCTTGATTGTTATTTAGCTACTTATATCTTCAAATTCATCAAATGAGAGCTAGCCCTGCATTTTTTTAGTTTGAGTCTACTAGCTTGACACGAAGCGCAACGAGCATGCATATCTAGTTCTTATATAAAAGCCATAGTTTTATGGTTACTATTCATTAAGAGGGGTTTTTTTTATAATTTTCATAAATTTTAATGGCATTACACTAAAGCCACATATTTGCAAATATTTACACCGAAGAATGCTCAAAAAATAAAAGGAGTTCATTGAATTGACATTTGTGGACAACTACACACAACATCCCCTTGGGAGAGCCTAGGGATGAGGTAAAGCTTAAGAGGGTTTTTTATATAATTTTCATCAACTTTAATGGCATTACACTAATGCCACATATTTACAAATATTTACACTGAAGAGTGCTCAGGAAATAAAAGAAAAGTTCATTGAATTGACATTTGTGGACAACTACACACATCCCTTTGGGAGAGTCTAGGTTGGTTACACAGGTGGGGTAAAGCTCAGGGTTTTAAATAAGGATGTGAATTACATCCATATGTTGATTTCTTTTTCTAGCTCCGAACCGTTTTTCCTTACTACTGTCTATGCATCCAACGAGGAGAGGGAAAGATTGCTAACATTATCGCAACATGAGTAGATGAAAGGTAAATGGATTTCCATGGATAGTTGGAGGCGAATTTAATGTCATACTTAATCCGATGGAGGCTTCCAATAGTGTTTCTATATGTCTTCTAGTATGTCATCTTTTAGAGAATAGGTAGAAGAAATGGTAGTATGATTCGGGCATAATTACACATATTTTACTCCTCATATATTGATTGTTTGACTTGGTTATCGTCGTTTCTTGACCTATTTTACGCTAGGTTGTGCTTCTTTTGTCACATTTCAGGTGCTAGTACATGTGGGAACGTCTGAGACGAGTTTCGGGTCATTTGGAGGTCAAAATGAGCCAAAAAGTGGAGGATGTAAAATGTTCATGGGGAGCACTCATTTTCACACCCTCTGGGGGTGAAAATCCTCCCTGGGGAGTGAAGAGCAAGACTTCACGAAAAGCACTCAATTGTCACGCTGTGAGAGGGTGAAATCACCCTCAGACCATGAAGTTTGCATTTTTTTTCCAACGGCCATTGTGCGTCTCGTGGGTCTAAAAATTGTCACGGTCCCGTGATCATGAAAATAGCCCAAAATTGCTTTTTTTTTTTGCTAAGATCACCCTCTGCTTGCTATTATCACCCCTGTGAATAGTGACTGTGTAGTTGGTACTGCCGGACAAATGTAAAGACAACATTGTCGAGTCACCCTTGTATTTGGAAGCTTCCATTATATCATTTGAGCTTAATTGAGGTTCCACATGAGTGATTTGTGCATAGTTTGCTAGGGATTTAAAGTGATTGTTAGAGGAAGTTCTTAAAAGTGAACATTGTTCATTAAGTTCAAGAATGTGGCATGTGTTTGAAGTTCTCTATTTGCCCTCAACAAGTGAAAAAGAAAAGTAAGGGAAAGAAAGGGGAAAAAAATAAAGAGGGCTAGGAAGAAAAGAGAGTTTCCAGAAAAGTTGATTATGCTCTTAAAAAGTGTTTTGTGGCATGCAAGCTATTGAGACACTTACATGTTTGTTTACCTCATTCACTCTTGCGCTTGAAAAGTTTGATAGCAAGTGTGAATGGTTTGGTGATCGGTTGTGGTTTGGAATAGTGGAAAGTGCGATTTTTAGTCGATGCCAGTGGCCATTGTTTGTAAAAGAAGGTTCTAGTTGAAACCATAGAACCTTTGTGTTGGTTTTGGGTTGAAGATGTGGAACCCGAGGCTATGTTTGCCACCACCCAAAAAGCATTCTTCCCATGTCCAAGACCCTAGCCAGTTATCTGAACCATTGTCTAAGACCTCCGGACAAGCTAGTGATGACACCCATCTTGTGAGCTCTAGCATTTAGAGTTTACCGTCATGGTAAAGAGAAGATAGGGCTGAGCATTTGAGTATGCACATCTTTTGCATCAAAATGGTACTGACCCTACTGGTCGAGAGTGAGTGATTGATTACTCATGATTTGTTCTTTTCATATATCCCGGTGAGGATCTAGTTTGCTCGATCGTTTGTTCCTAAGACTTTATCTTTATGCATGGATAAGTGTGATTGGTGAGTCATCATGACAGGTTATGCTTTGGTTTGTGTACAATGTGAGAACTCTTTCTTTTCATGATTTTATTGCATTCGAATGTCATTTATGGTGGTTGTTAGGATTGTTGTTGATGTTGTCCATATGTTGGTGTCTAATAGCCATTGTGATTCATTTGTTTTGTGCCCTATGACATCCCCCCAATTTTTTTTTGAGAAAGAAGTTGTAAGCTACCTTGTTTTGTACTTGGTTTGCTTGGCGACAAGCAAACGTTCAAGTGTGGGGGAGTGTTCGCGCATTCCACATATTTACCCCTCGTATTTTGATTGTTTGACTTGGTTATCATCGTTTCTCGACCTATTTTACGCTAGGTTGTGCTTCTTTTGTCACACTTTAGGTCCTAGTACGTGTGGGAAAGTCAGGGACGAGTTTTGGGTCATTCGGAGGTCAATATGAGCCAAAAAGTGGAGGATGTTCAATGTTCATAGGCAGCACTCATTTGTCACGCCCTTTGGGGGTGAAAATCTCCCACAGGAGTGAAGGTATTAGAGAATTTTTCTCACTTGTCAGCTCCCTAAAGGTATCAATGTTGCATCCCTTACTTTAGTTCCTAAGACTCTTAATGTTGAAACTTTGGCTAGCTATCGCCCTATTGCTTGCATTAACATACTATACAAAATCATAGCAAAAATAATTGCCCATAGAATCAAACAAGTCCTCCCAAGTGTCATAAGCAAAAACCAGTCTGCGTTTATCGAGGGAAGAAGTATTGCAGATAATATATTGATGGCTCAGGACTCGATACATGATTACAATAAGAAAATGATTGCTTCTCGTACTGCTATCATGATTGACCTCCAGAATGCTTTCGATTCAGTGAATTGGTCTTTCCTTTTCTGTGTCATGGAGAGTATGGGATTTCCTTCAAAGTTTATATCCTGGATCAAGGTTTGTCTGAGTTCAAGTCACTTTAGTGTTTTCATTCATGGTTCTTTTTATTTGGGAACTTTGTTGCAAAGAAAAGAGTAAGGCAGGGTGATCCCTTATCCCCTTACCTCTTTGTCCTTGCCCCGGAACCCCTTTCTGGAATGTTTGATCTGGTTGCAAAGACAGGACAACTTCCTTATCACCCGTAGTGCAAGAAGATTGAGCTCACGCACTTGTGTTTTACGGATGATCTCCTCATCTTTACTGAAGTTCAGCAGCAGCTTTATTTAGAGTCAAAAGCTTACTTGATCATTTCTATTGTATCTTTGGATTATGTTGCAAACTGTAAAAGTGTCAGGTCTTTTTAGGGGGGCTTGTCAATCAATTTAAGCAAAATGCTTTGACGGTGTCTGGATTCCGAGAAGGAACCCTTCCGGTCAGATACTTGGGGCGACTTCCTTTATTTGCTGATAGGCTGAGAAGCAATGAATGTGCTAAGTTGGTTAACATATTTACAAGTAGGATAAGAACATGGAGAGCCAACAAACTCTCTTATGCAGGCAGAATACAATTGTAGCTATGATCATTTAGTTTGCAATTGTAGCTATGCACAACAGTTCTTTATGGTTGTTTTTCACAGAGTTCATAGCTGGCCAGGTCAATGGGATGTCTATTTGCAGCATGCTTGCAGGGAGGTGAATAAAGGTGGGACTTATGGACGTCTTTATGGAACTTTTCTGGAGCTGGATGATGGGTTATTGTGGAAAGAACGCTGCAGCTGCGCATTTTGGTGGACCTGCGAAGCATTTTCAAGTGCTTGTTTCCTCCTTCAATGAGCAATTATTGCTCTTTGCTGTGGCCAAAAGCGTTTTCTTTTCTGAGCTTAAAAGTTGTTCTTCCTTCACTTCCTTCTGTAATTTCAGCTTTTAAACTCTTGTAAGGATTGTAGTCCTAGGTTTTTTCGCGCCTTGGCTATTTTTTCCAAGCGAGCTTCAATGAAAAATGGAAAACGTAATTACATCACATATGACCTATGTTATTTAATTTAAATTATTAAGTCACAAGTTAACAAAAAAATCGGGTACTGTTCATTAAGAAAAAATCGGAGGTCACTGTTCACGGAGGATTATAACTCAGATGCGGGCGGTTACACGGTAAACCCATGTATAGCCCTTTAGGCAGATTAAGCACAACCGTTGATCAAGCTAACCTCAGCCATTAAAATCTTATCCCATAAATTCTCGTGTGCCTCTTCTCTCTATTCTTCTAGATCAAATCAAACCCTCCCTTCTCTCTGTTCTTCTACGTCAAATCATAACCCACTATCACCTCTCTCCTCTCTCATGTAGAACTCTCCCTTTGATGATGGATCTGTCATGCTAAACTTTTTGTTCCCCATCCTTTCTCTACTCACATTCTACTCTGGGACCACTTTTCTTCTCCCATTTTTTTTCCATGAGATCAAAAGAATGCAGAGTAATGGGCTCTGTAAGAAGATGGATTTGGAAGGGGAAACGAATGGAAGGAGAGGAGTCTGCTCCGCAGTCGATCTATCTTCCTCACCTCAACAAAAATGGAAGTCGTCAGTGTCGGATCGACTCTACTTCTCTCTAAAATTGAAGCCATGAAGAAAGTTTATCTGCTATTTCCTTGCTTACTACTCAAGCAGTTCTGCGTTAGATAGGGGATATTAATTAGTGGGCTTCACCGCTGACGGTAGGTGGATTCTTGGAAGCCAAAGCTTCATTGAGGATTACTTCTCCCTCTCCCCTTTAAAAATCCCTCGCTAATAGAGCTATCTGATGGATCGATCTAGATTGGGGATGGCGGCCGACCCTCTGTGTTGGATTCTCTGCTGGGGATTGCTTCTTGAGCTATCTGATGTATCGATTGAGATTGGTAATGGCGGCTTCGAAGCAGGCCGTAGTTGGATTATATGCTGGGAAAGCTTTGTTGGGGATTGCTTCATTGTTGGATTTAATGGAGATTACTTCGTTGATGTGTTTGTACCTTTCTCCCTCTGTATTTTTCATCTTTTCAATTTCAATGTGCTTCTCCCGTAAATGATCGAAGCTAAGGTGAGACCCCAAATTCAATTCTCTTTATTTAATTAGGAGTTGCTTCCAATGATTCATTGACCCACTATTAATACTATTTATTTTCAGCCTTTTTCCAGATGAACTCGGGGATAATATGCAACTCAAACAAGCAATGGACAAGGTGATTTTTCAATGCTTTCTCCATATAGCGATCTTTCCCATATGAATCTATTCTCCCCTTTTGAGTCCTACTGTGAATCATGAAATGAGAATTTATATTTGGTTTTTACCTTTTTTATTTATGTTATGGGTTTTGAATTGCTGATTTGAACCAACTAGAAGGGTATGATTAAATTTGAGATTCATTGTAGGGTTGGGATAGCACAATTTGATTGGCAGTTTGATTAAAACCTACAAGAATATGATTTTTGGGTTCCCTAATTCGATTGCCACTTTGGAAAAATTATAATTTTTTAGCAGTCTTTTGCGTCACCTTTTCATTCAAGTTCAAAGTTTCTTACCTAAGAATACTATGTGGCGGAAGTTTCTGAACACATTGTGGTAAGTATTAATTCATGACCGAACTAGATCTGTTGGGAATATATAGCATTATAGCTAACTGCATAATTCCTTCAGGAGTTTCATCTTAGTTTAAACCATATGTGTTGACGTTGCTTTGTGATAAATTAGCAAGAACCAAATCCATGTGAAAGTTTAAACTGTGTAGTCTTTTTTTTTTTTTTTTTGCACAGATCACTGTTTGAATGCAAGAGTACGATTTGTGATTTTTATATGTCATTATCATCATCATCTAAGCTTTACTGTTTATGTAAATTTTATTTTGTTTGGCGTAGTGAATATGCTTCTAACGAAGTAAGTATATACGATCCGGTGTTCCACAAGTTGTACATTTAGGCACAACAATGCAGCTCTTGAGAGTTGATGTCAACCATTAGTTTATACTAGAATCAATACCCGCGGCTACGCCGCGTGAACTAAAGTCACAATAGCATGATCATATTGAGTTTCATAGTTAATTAGTATGAGGCTTATGTTAATAATAATATAACTATAATAATGATATTAAAAGTTGAGCACAATTAAGGGAAAAAACACATCATTACGATTACAAATAATAATACATTTATGTCCAGTCAACCCTGTCTCCGGTTTCTAATGATCATAGACAGAAACTACCACAAAACATTGAAATGTAGATGTCCCAATCACCAAACAGGAGACATGAGTAATTGTCTGAGTTTAGAACAAAGCAAGAAGCATTGCCGTAAACTCAAAATTTCCTGCATTTCAATAAATTAGTTTTATTCAAGATAGATTCTCATGTAGTTTCAAATGCTCCCATAAAAAAAAATGTAGTTTCAAATGCTCATAACACATCTCAAGCATTTCATAAGCAAGAAATGGATTTTTGTTTTTTTATCTAGGGTAGCAGCAGCAGAAAAATCTACTTGCTTGCTTCAGTTCCCTCGTACCCTAGCTGCTCAAAACCTTGTGCCCGTTGTAAGGACCTGGGACCTCAGTCTCCTCGTGCTTCTTAAACAGGAACATATCAACTTCACCTGCAACAAAACTACACATGAAATCCTTTCCTTCAATAAACAGCCCCACAACCCAATACCATCCACATAAATTCTCTAACCAATAACATCCACATAAATCCATCTATCGGTTTTTCTTTTCCTTTGTGGTCTATCGCCCCTATATAGAAATGAATCCATTCCCTTCCTGCTGTTATTCCTTGTAAAAACCAAAAATCAGACGATGAAAGAGAAAGACTCGAGAAAGACTCGGATTTTACTAAGGAAATCAACTCTTGCAGGCAAAGCTGAATCACAATAGTAGAATCCAATATGGATAAAGTTCTAGTCTTAGCACCTCATTGACAAAATCTTGAACGCTTGAAGAGACAAAACACATGTATGCTCATATCTTCCTTCCCGGTATACAGCCAAAGAAAGTTCTGGTAATTTTCGGTGGGACATCATACGCTTAACAAAAAAAAACATTTTCAACCTGTACAAAGCTCTAGCTATCTCACAATTGCATAAGTAATTTGTCCCTCAAACTGCTATTATCTGAACTTCAGTTCAGTAGCTGCAATGAAAGAAGTCAACCGAAATTCTTTATGAGAATAGGTTAGAGAAACATGGTCAGTTAAATTTTTGGGTATCGAACTTCAGTTGATTTGCTCATGGTACATGATAATATCTTCTGAAGCATAGATCGAGCTTCCTTCCACACAGGCCTTCAGAAGGATCAGAAATTATTAAAGTTAGGCAGCCAACCAGAAGCACAGAACATTTAGTGACCATCCATTCATGAGAGAGTGAGAGAGTGAGAAATTGGTGGTTATCTCAACAACCAAACAGTCAACTCATTAGCTAAACATGCTCCATCTTAAATTGGTCCCAACCAACAGTTCAGTAAGTTGAAAGCAAGCAAGAATAATGCATTAGTAGAGATATCCAGAAAGGAGAAAGAACTTACCATGACAGCAGTGAATTGAACAATCTGAAGCTCGGGAATCGTCTTGAAGGATTCAGAGTATATTGTCACGGCCTTCTCAGGAGTGTCATATTCAGCTGGCACGACCCCAATAGTCCGAACAGCATCACCAAAGCTGACTAAGATAAGTGAGCAAGTGAATTTTCTAAATCAGCTAACAAAAGAGAGAACAACTATACATGGGGTTTGAGCTTCACTTTATGCTGTACATCCAATGCAATACAAAACAGTCAATAGCAAACCTATACAAAATAATCTAAGAGAAGCAGTTTAAGTATAAATATAACATCTTTGTATAAGCACCCACATTTATAAGCCAGAGCGACAAAGGAAGGATGAGCAGTACTGGCTTGCTTAGGCGAGCTGATTATAACTCAGCCAAAGACTTGACTTGACAGCAAACTCCGTCCACAGAGTGATTGAGAGGGAGGCTCTGTTGTGATCAGTACAAAACACATTAGATAATGATAAAGCATAGATTAGCGGAAGAAATAGATAACAAAAACAACGCACCACTCATTTTCTTGGGTTGAGATCTCTATGGTACACACTCGCTGCAAATCCAACAAAATCTAGATCAGAACCATGAGGCACCAGTATGATTATTCAAAAGAAACCAGATAAGAGAAATACACCAAAGTGATTGGCAAGCACCCAAAATTAACCACCAGACATTTGCTAAAAAATTTCACTTAAAAGAAGGTGCAGAAGATGTTCACCTGGTGGCTGCAAAATACAGGAACTTGTTTCACAGTAGAAAGAAGGTGATGAAATTAAACAACACTGGTTTTTTCCCGTAGAGTTATCGCATCATCATCTTCATGTCATGCTAGATCAATCCTCCACGTCGTAGATACCAGAACCAAAGCACACAAAGCTAGGTTCAGTAAACTAAACAAACTCCATAACAAAAAAAATCAATAATTTCAAACTCAGGTATTCAAACCTTATCAACAGTTGGGTAGTGAATTATCTCATTGGTGAGCCAGATCTTTTCCTCACAGAATTTCTTCCTCACTTCCTTCCTCTTTCCGAAAGTATGGGAGACAATAAAAAACAACTGAGGACTCACCTTCTGATTGTATACATAGCTTGTTTCAAGTGATTGCCATCATTCCGGAAGACCTCCACTTCTAGTGTTGAACTCCATCTTCTCTGCCGGCTTCCAGTCCGTATACTGCCTTCTCCACCTTGCATTGAATTTGCTTCCCCTCCCCCTTCAGCCGATGCCAACGACATCATTCGGCACTGCAGCAGCCTTCTCAGCCCTCTCCCTAGGGTGGCAACGATTCTCCAATATGGAAACAAAGAGTATGAGGTACTTGGCATCTCAATAAACCTCTTCCAAATGGTTGGCAGGCTTCACAATCCACAAACCTCTGCAAGAGAGAGAAAAAAAACAGAGCAGAAGCTCATTACATAAGCCAATCTCCTTTTATGCTATATAAAACTTTGCATTCCTTGTACTACTATAACCAACAGATCTCTGTGTACTAACTAATTGAACCTAATGAGTCCAATGCTAATTAAACGCAACAAACCCACAGATAACCCAATTTTAGGCATTCCATTAGTTTGTAAGGCTTCTTTCCCATTCAAAGCATTAAACCAACCGCAAATGAAAGCAGCGAAAAATTGAGAAGGAAATTGATTTTGAAACAAACCTGGTACGTTCTTTCTCAGCCTCGCACAGAATGCCACAACCACCAAGAAGAAAAGATTATTCTCATTTTCATTCAAATAGAAGAAATAAACAGAAATACCCAGTGACTTAATCTTACTTGTAGATAGACAGAGACAATGAGACCCTTCTTCAATCCGCACCCTGCAAGAACATGAATGAAACAATGGACTTCTATGGCAATGAGTAGAGATCACAATTTTAAGGCAAGAAGAGAGAAATATAGAAAAAGAAGATCACTGCCGCCACAGTCGGATTCGCGTTGCCCGGAAGATCGGCGCTCGCGTTTTATCGCCAGGTACCTTGTTTTCCTCACCTTTTCCTTCTCCATGACCGAGCACACTGAGTACCTTGGGCTTTGGCGAACGCCATCGAAGGGGTTCGTCTTCTACAGCACAAAGCAGCGGCGGAAGGTAGAGGCGGGTGACGAAGGAAACAGGGTAGAGCTGATACCTATCCATCTTGAAGGAAATCGCTGGAAAAGGGAAAGAGAAATGAACAAAAACCTTATAACTAAACACAATTCCAACAAAAGAGATGGCAAGAGCATCAATTTTTCCATCAAATATAGGGGAAGAAGAAAGATGAACTACTCACCGCCATTGGTTGTTGGTAACAGTACCCGCCGTCGGCCGCAAAGATCAGTGAGCAAGAGAGTTTTGAGTCAGATAGGCTGGCGTCAAAGCGGGGAAGAGAGAAGCTCACTCTTCCACTATGCGAGGGAAGCAAGGCGATGATGGTAAGAAACATGGGTGGTGGCGTGTGTGAGCAGGTAGCAATCAATTTTGCAAGAGTTGTACCGGTTGCGTGCAGAGCCCTTGTTCAGCGGTGGCGTGTTGCAGCATTTGATGAAAGGTTGGTCGACTACTGTAATAAGGGCCAAGCGCAGCAGTGGAGTACAGGCTGTAGGGGAGCGGCATGGTTGCCTGCGGGATTTAGGGAAGAACTGGGGAGAGAAAGCAGTTGGATGGGGAAGGTTTCTCGCGAAGAGTTTGATAGGCGCTAGAAGACAAAAAGTGATACAGTAACGGGCAAAAAGTGTACCCAGTTTTTATCTATAGAAGAATGCATCTACTTTTAATGAAGTTAGTATATCATATTTATTTCTTAGCAGTCACATTGTCTAATTTAGTACAAGTGAAGATTTTGAAACAAGTCATGTTAAGAAGAATATTACGACCACAGTTTGTAGAGTTGAGGTATTGGATTGATTTGCTTTTGTGAAAGTGACTTTTATTTCCTCCCCAATACACCAGAGGTGTATCCGAAACAAGGGACGAAAAAGAAAGTTACATGAAGGAGAAGCAACTTGCAGACACCCTCCAAAAAGAAGGTAGGATCTACCGAGGGAAAAACAACAAAGAAAGAAGAAAAAGATAGAGGAAAACAACCAGTTCAAGGCTGAACATAAGCCCAACCCAACCTCGAAGATCCATGCCCCACGCATATCAGATCCTGATATGATCTCAACTCCACCCTTGAATCATCTCAAACAAATCGTTCAAAGATCGGATCAAGTTAATACGAACAAGGCTGAAAATTGTCTAAGTGTTGAGACAGTTTTGGGAAGGCTACTTTGGAGGGATGTTTCTCTCGAACCATTCACTGGAAATGCAAGGTTGGGGTCTTATTTTGAACACTGGATGTTTTTCTATAGTTTGGTGCCTTTGGATCATGGAAGGAAGGTCAGGAGCATTGTTTTTCAAGGCCATCAAAACCCTATCCTGCATTCTGGAAACTGCCAGTTTTTGGCTAAGGCAGGAAGACAGTTTGAGGTACCAACTTTGAGCTCGAATTCAAGGAGTTTGGGGCATGGCCAGATGGAGCTTGGAGTTGGACATGAAAGAGTAAAACTTTCTAAACCAAGGGAAGGAATTGGCTGAGCTCGACGCAACCCAGAAGGTCGATTTCCAGGCCCACGAAGTTGACATCAAGGGCTGTTTTTGGACAGTTAACTTGTGAGAGAAGATAGTTACTTGGGATGCAAGTTTTAATTGTTTTAACGTTTCTTTTTCCTTGTTTGATTCAGAATTGCTGCCTTGTTTGTTTAGGATTGTAATTAGGTTTATTGGCTATAAATATTCAAGCTTGAGTTGTAACAAGACATGTTGAAGTTTAATCGAAATTACTCCGAGGAGTTTTCTAGCTTGCGAGCTTTTGGTTCTTGGTTGTTTGTCCGAGAATTGCAGACCTAGAGATCAGGTTGTCACCCTTGATCTCGTGGTAGTTCTACCTGGATTAGCCTCTTCCCTTTTCGTGTTGAAGTTGCTGATTTAGTTCATTCAATTCCATTTCGTCCCCCGAATTCATCCAATTTTGACTCATCGCTGCGTGATTCTGAGCTAAGCCAATCGAGGGCTTATCAGATCCCATCAGAACAGCCCAACAGTACCACAATAGTAAAGGCTTCTCTATTATACTGACAAGCACTTGCAGGAGTATGGATAACCACACCTCTTTAATGTCATTACTAACGGTACCAGCACCCGAAAGGTAAGTCCCACTTAATACTTATGTTTATGTGGATGTGTTATCTCAACAAGACAGTGAAGGGCATTCTCGATAGTTGAAGAGTGAATAGTTCATAAGCATTCACTTCCATTTTCCCTTTCCATTTTTGAGTTATACTACATGAGAAGGATTGAGCAAGATTTGACATATTAGTTGATGATTAGCTTAGGTCATGTTAGCAGGTTTATCATGAATCCCTTATTAATTGCCTTGATTCAAAGTTCTCTGGTAACTTCAGATCATGATCTTATTTTTGTCTCTTCTCTTTTCATACTTAAAAGTGGTTTTTTAAATCAGCATTCAATGTCATGAAACATGTTTGAAGAGAGGGCTTGAAGTACTTGCAATCAATTGTTAAGATAACATGACATAATTTTCAGCGTCTGTAATTTCTACAACAAGTTTATGGTGGGTTTTTCATTCTTCACTTAAAAGAAGACATTCCATCTCTTTCCCCATCACAAAGGTAAACACTCTTGCTTAGAATGTCAAATTAGCAATATGGTTCAATAGTTTGATAAATGGTCTTTTGCATGATCAGTAAAAAACTCTTCTTTCTTTTATGATATGTAGATTTATTTGCTCATTCAAATATATCAGTGTGGATTGCTTTTTTCCCAATTTATAGATCACTTTCTCATGAAAAGCTAAACTATAAGTTGTTGTGGAAAACAGAGAGACAACAAGAAGTTTCTTTTCTCAAGGAAGACTGATAAATGAAATTATTCTTTATATTGTTACCAACGAAACTACAGTATTATCTTTTACTATCCACAGTGAAAACCTCTTATGCGGACTTATGAATATGATTACTTGAAGCCTCTCATTAGACATTTGGCCTTGGTTGTTTGATTATTTTTTAAGTAGTGCCCTATTTCACAACTAGCATAATTTGTTTAAGATTTTTATCTGCCCTCCTCACTTACTTTTATTATACTAAGAATCCTTATATATTTGACATGGTGAAATTAAATTATTCTATATACTTTAATCCTTTGTTAATTATTCCTTACAAATTCACAATTCAAACCGTAGCGTAGCACGGGCTAATTTTCTAGTATACAATAATCACATATGGCCTATAAAAACCTTTTAGCAATCCTTTTTTATTATTTTTATTTATGTGAACATTTGTTTTTGCTATCATTAAATCGACATCTTTGTTCATATTTGGCGCACCTTCCGGCGATGTGTTATTCATCATTGAGTTCTTATTTATTGGCATTTTTCTTAGGTTTTCAACTAATTAACTAAAAGTAAACCGATCACGCGTATTTGGCTCACATGTATATCACTTAAGCATTTTCCATTTTCTAATTCTTATAGATAGTCAATTTTTGTGAGTTTTTCTACTATTCAACTAGATGTTAGTTTTTGTGTTCTTTACAGGTTAGTTTTTTTACTTTTATAATCACATGTAACATTTCATATTACTCACTTTCTGCTTCGCGAGCGGCATATTTAGTAGGGTAGTAAAACAAACTAATCTGACCAAGAACGATGAAGAAATTATTGAATCTTCCAAAAGCGTAAATAGTCTCGTTTGATTGAGAAACGTCTACTAAAAATTTGGAGAACGAAAAGAACTACGTACATATGATCATCAAGATTTGGCAGCCATGCAAAAATCGCCAATGTTGCAACAAGTCCAGTTCCCTGCCCTGAAAGCACGTCTCCCGAGTCCCATCTGCTTCGTCCAACTGTAACCAAGATATCTCTTTGACCCCCTTTAGCCTTTACCTTTCCCTACTAAAAATCAGGAAAACTTTTCTTTCTTTCTGAAGACCCAAAAAAAAGCCACTGTTCTGCTTCACCTACATCATACAGCTTCTACCCTGCTTCAGACTTCTATGTACAGGTTGGTAGTGGAAACAACGAGAGATGACTGACTGCTACTGTACAACATTAGCCAACGTAGTAGGAGACCATGGGTTCACATTAACTGGGAAAGTAAGACTTATTGTTAGGGTGCCCATATCGAAGACCTGCCTGCCCGAATTGTGGCACTCCAATCAATCTTGGGTCATTCCAACATGGCAAGTCATTGCCCCTCTGATGCAACTCAGGTGGACTTCCAGCCATTCCAAAGTGAGTAGGAGGACCACCGCCGATATATCGGTGTCTGCAGCCTGGTGTGCCATTGTTCCACTGATCCTGGTAAAGACAAGACACCACAAGTCGGAGGCTGGTATCATCTCAGCTGTACTAACAAGTCAACTGAACTCAAAGATGAAATAAAAAGCATGTACTCGTACAGACCTGCTGCTGGTTGATGTACACGCTGGCGGGTGGCGCTGATGAGCAGCTCTCGCTCCAAGTTGCGAGCCCTGGACACGAAGCGCTGCTGCACCAACCACCTTGGGGATTACCACCACTGCGTAACCAGGAGGAATCTGGTGGTCTGGTCGTTGTCAGCCTGAGACAAGCAAGGGGTGGCGACTGTAGGTAGTAAGAAGCATGATTGCGACCTTCGCTCCACAGGGCTTGGGGAGATAAGTCTCGGTGATAACTTTGTAAGATGCAAGGTGGTCTGAATGGTACGTGTCCTCCAGAGCAAGCAGGAGTGTTTGTTAACGAGGGAGTACACCTGCTGCTACCACCATGAGGAACAGCACTAGCAGGCAACTCTTTCTTCTTTTCCGGAAACTCAATTTGGGACGTCGCGACCCAGTCTTCAATGGTTATCCCCTGCTTGGCAGCGAGTTCCAGCACACGTTTTTCATCTAGCCCTAATCCCATGAGCAAGTTCCACAGGTTCCTTTGAGCTTCCCGTTGGTTGTGGATGATTTGATCTCTCATCGCGACTCCAAACTGGAGCTCAGTATTACCCATTTCCTGCATTGAATGGGTGAGTGTCGCAATCAATCCATCAGAACTTCAATTCTTACCAGCCCATATGATTTTGGGTTTAGAAAGGCTCACCAGAAGTCTGTACTGGTTAAGTATCCGCAAGTAGGTCTTATTCCCATGATTGCTAATGGCCTCCTCGATCATCTCTTGGAGTTGGCACCGACGTTTCTCGTTAGCTTCAACATCCTGTACAGCAATTTCCTTTAATCACAAAGCCACAAGGTAAACAAAGTGTAATTTTACTCCCCAAAAGCAAGTCCTCACCTTCTGGTAGTTGACACCAGCCTCATCATTGTCACGGATATTATCAAGAATTACTTGTCGCCTAGACCTCAGTGCCGCCACAACTCTCCCTTCTTTTTCAACAGTCTGCAACAATTAAAAAGGAGTTTATATGTCCATAAATAACGGAAATACCCAAACCCGTCCCAACTAAAACGTAACTTGCTGCAAGGACCTTGGAATCCACTATATTCTATTATGCGCTTGTCCTGATTGGCCTTCATACGTGACATAGATAGAGGATTTTTGTTCCTTTACATTTTGATGAAACATCCATGCAAGTCCAACAACATATATCTGTTTCCACAAAGTCGGGCCCCTCAGCCCCTCTCTAGAACAACGATGTAGTTAGGCCACTCTTATAAGGGCTCTTGAATAAGAAAGCATCCCATGGCATAGCATCTAAATTCCTTAGAAGACACCGTTAAAAATTACCTTCACCACTTCTCCACTTCATAAAGACAAATAGATTAACGAAAATTGCCCACCACCTTGCAACTGACCTGCTGCTTTGCAACTGCCTCGTCAAGCTCCTGGAGTTCAATGCGGTTACGAAGGTTAGTTTCTTCAAGCTCGAACAAAGCCTTCTGTAAGTTTATCCGCTCCTGAACATTTTCACTTGTTTCACGGCTCAAGCTATCTAACCAAGATAACTCATCATCTTCAACTTTTTCTCTCGGTTTGGAAGTCAGTTGTGATTCCTTTTCGGCCAATTCTTTTCTCAAGCGGCAAACTTCAATCTGCATGCCTTTTACGTTATTTTCCAGCAGAAATGTCATATAATGAACTCAACACAGAAAATGCACACAATCATACCTGAAGACTATCAATCATTCTCTGATAATCTGACACATGGGTATCCACTGTGCCAACGTTTTTCTGAAATAAGAAAAACGCAATCAAGAGTTGGTATAATGTTTCCATTAAGTACACCTTTCGTCTATGCTACACACTGGAAGGTGAACAGTGAAAGGACGATGTTCAACTGAAGTAACAGGTGATCCAGAAAAGGATCAGAAAGAAAGAATACTGAATCCCATAAAGGCTACAACAGTAATTCCCCAGACATTTTGATTTACCTGAATATGTGTCTTTATTTCCTTTGCACGATCAGCATATTTCAAAGTGTTGATGGTATGATGATACTGACTTTCAGCTGGAGATATTGTAGCAACCATGACGGTCCGTGAATTACCACTCAGGCCATCTTTAAGAATCCGGGTCAATTTGCTGTAGCCATTCACCATTTACATAAGAAATGTCATTAGAAGCTGCACATAACCAATAATCTCCTTTTATCTAACCTATTTAATTAGATTTCCAATAACAGCAGACCTGTTACGGTAAGGGACATATGCAAGACCCTTCTTCTGTTGTTTTCCCAGAGCATTAATGCAGTTTGCCAAAGCTAGGAGGGAACGGTTAATATTAGCCCCATCTCTTAGCTTTTGGCCCACATTATTTGTTTCAGAAGCGCGTTCACTACCAGCAAGATCTACAAGTGCTAGTTTTCCTTTCATGATCTGATCTCGATACTTGTTTCTTTGCCTTCTTTTCACAGTAATCTCTAAGACAGCATGTGACCTGGTCATACAGAAACAGTGAGAGATGCTAGAAAATTCCATTGCATAAACTAATAGCAGGTAATATTTCTAGCAGCAGCTCCCTTGACCACCAAGATTTTGCAACCCATTTGAAATTCCATGTGCAAAATGATAGTTATGTTTTAATTTGATCTTGCATAGGCTACTACCAAAACTGGACAAGAGGTATCACAAAGGCTCAACAAAAGACAAACGAACATGACTTCTAAGTAATTCACCAGTCTAACAGTTAAAAGTCTTATAGATTTTGCAAATCGGGCAACTAAAGTAAAGGACTACAGAGAGTAGAGAAGCAAACCTTGAGGATGTGGCATTGGCCTCCGTGCTTTCTGTTTTTCTTCTACTATTTCCCAAGTTCAATAGTTCAAGAATCTTATCAGCTGAATGAACCTGAATCAGAAACAGCAATAATTAATTATTAATCGGAGTTCACATTTGTACAAGCTTCAGAACACAAGGCCCTGGGTGCCAAAAGCTAAGCATTGTTCTGCATAAACTAAAGCACTAACGTTAAGAAAACAAACATAAAATAGATGCAAGAGCACTGATGGTCTTTGGTGGCCAATAAGGCATCATCCCAATGTTTCTTGAAGCGAATTTGGGCGTAAAAGCACAATGTGAACATTTGAGTTGATGAACCAGGGCAAGGCATTATTCAGCACATACTTCATTGTACTTTACATGCTCACAAGAATGCCAGTATGTTTTGCAAAGCACCTTATGGCACCATTATCACTAAAATGATGGAAAATGTTTGTACTTTACATGCTCACACAAATGCCAGTATGTTTTGCAAAGCACCTTCTGGCACCATTATCACTAAAATGATGGGAAATGACTGACCTTAATGCATTTCAGCCCAGCAACAACAATTCCTTGTTCTGGGTCTTCACGAAGTTCAAGGTGACCTGATGATTTCTCAAGTAGATCATAGATAACCTGCATACATTCTGGAGGTCAGTCAAGCAGATTCACAAAGGAACTAAAACACTTTGATGAGCTTTATTTAAGTAAAGAGATTCCCTACTTCATTGTAGACTTCCAAATAGGAGCATGTAACATCAAATTCATCAGTGTCCTTATCACTTTTAATGAGATCAAAAATAGTATGCAGGCTGAGAACCATAAGTCCAGGGTCATCCGGCTTCCCCACCATCGTATAAGTCTTCCCGCTGGGGAGCAACACAAGACCAAAACAAGGAAATTATCGTTAGACTAATTTTCAGTTTCTGCTATCATTTAGAGCACTTAAGACCCACAAGGATCGAATGTTCACAATTGGAAATAATATTAATCCTCAGACTCTTGTGGTTGCTTGTTCAGGATTGCCAAAGCAGTATGATAACACATTTGAGTTAACCAAGGCAGATTCAATTAATGGCCTAACTCTTTATGTTCTTTCTGCAAAGTCGGGTGATTATTAACAGGAGCAGTACCTTCCGGTTGAACCATAGGCAAACACGGTAGCATTCAGACCTTGAACAACCCCAGAGATCACCGACGATATACAGGTTTTATAAACCTCCTGTACACACAATAAAATAAAAAATTTCAAACAAATCGCAAACTGATAAGATGACAAAACTCTAAACAGAAGGAATCCGCGAAACTTCCAAGCGGAGAGAGAGGGGAATAAAAGATTGCGGAATCTTGAATGCCGACGCGTACCGAGTTGGCCGAGTCAGGACCGAAGGCGTGATCGAAGCAATAGCTCTTCTCTTTGGTCCGATGCTGTACTCGATCCAGATAGTCCTTGGACAAGTCGGGATCTAAGACACGAACCGCCTGCGATCACAGGCCAAAATTAACGAAAAGGAAGTGGAAATTCCCATGGTTAGAATGGCAACCACCGCCTAAGCAAGAACATTAGCAAAAGACGCCGACGGCTTACATGACTGTCACTGAAACGGACGATGTTACGGCCGCGCTCTTTCTCAGCTAACGGCCTGCACTTGACAGCAACCTGAAGAACCAAAGCAAGAGAAAAGAGCGATGTAACAGCTGCGGGAACACTGAATTAGGCAGAGTTGGAGTCCCGAGCCAGTAAGAAAGACAGAGAAGGAGAAGGAGAGACGAGGAGAACTTACAGTGAGCGTAGTAGCTTTCTTCGCAGCCGGAGCTCGAATACTAGGCATAACTTCAATCAGGATGGTCAAAATTAACGCGAATTCAGCTCTTTCTGCGTCTCTCTCTGAACGAAACAAGCAAGCAGTCGAAGTATACACAGTAACACGCTGCGGAAGTGCTATGAAGGTGCGGAAGAAGTGAAATTAGTGCTCGGCCATGGGAATTGGGGCGAAGAAATGATTGGGATTAACTAGATGATGCTGAGAGAGTGGAAGAAAGATCTGAGGGAGGAGAGATATCAGGTGGTGGTTGCGAGCGAAACGGATGGCAGGCGAGGCGGAGGGAAACGGAAAACAAATTTTGAACAGAAAATGAATGCGGCAGAGAGAGAAAGTGCTGGACGGCTGATTGTACGAAGGAGGAGGAACGGAAGGACGGAGAGAGAGAGAGAGCGGCGAGGAGGGAAAGAAAGATTCAAGAGCGGCATTTTTGGCAAATGGCAAATACAAGAGGGAGGAGACCGGCGAACAGAATAAAATAATAATAAATATTATCAAAATGAATGGGTTTTGTTTTTATTTGCCGGGGTTGGTTGTCGGTAGGGATGACAATGGGTCGGGTTGGGTTGGGTTTTGCCAAACCCAAATCCATGGGTTTATCCGTGAAAAAAACCCGGGGTAAAATCCACTGGGTTTGAAAAACTCAAACCCAACCCAACCCGCTGGGTATCCGCGGGTTCATGGGTACCCACGGGTTTTTGTCTTAAAAAATTTACTAACAAATTTCTATCAAAATTAAAGTCAAATATCAATCTCCCAATACAAATTATCCATATATAAAACACCATTCTAGAAACCTCAAGCAAATCACAAATTAACTATACAAATTGTTCAACACCAATCTAGAAACTCAAGAAAATTGAAGCAAACCACAAATTATCCATAAATAACATGATTAATTGAAAGCTTCTTCCTTTCAATTAAGTTTTTCACTCTCCACTCGATAACATCAACTTCATACTACATAACTAGAAAGAAAATTAGGCATGTCTCCACAAACATAAATAAGATTAGTTGTTTAGAATATTAAATATGCCGAGAAAATTAATTATATGGGTGTGGGCGGGTACCCATGGATCGGGTTTACCTAAATCCAAACCCAACCCAACCCGGTGAATAGTGAACGAGTTTAAACCAAAACCCGGCCCAAAACCCGTCAACACGGATTTTACCCGTGTTGACTAGGTTAGGTCGGGTGGGTACCCGTGGGTTCGGATTTTGTTGTCATTCCTAGTTGTCGGTTGAGGGCTGGGCCGTTGTAGTGGAGCCGCGTTTGGAATGGTAAGAACGAGCGGGAGGATGGAACTAATACAACTTCTTTTGGTTTGGTGATTCTTACATTGCACTATGCACGCATTATCCATAATGTTTTTTTTTTTCTTTCTTTCTGTCCAAACAATATATGCATATTTTGTTTCATTTGACACAACTAGTCATTTGGTTTTTGTGATAGTTAAATAGATATATTATCGTCATTGCATGCATAATAATATACATGTACATACGAAAATTGGTGTATTGTAGTTTACATTCGTTGGTTTTTGTGATAGTTTTTGTGTTATTTAAATAGTTGTATTATTTTTGGGTGAAATGTCACTTTTACCCTTTGTTTTTAATATAAAAAAACAACACACATAAAAAGGCAGGGACATGCTCTTTAAATGAAATAGATGGTTGTACTTGTAATGAGTTGTATGGGAGTAGATAGACATGATAAAGCATGGACAATGATCAAGACGTCATGGTTTGGAGTTCTGGAATGGATTGGATCAAGGAGAGTGAAGGTTTCCCTGACATACCCAAGAACGCGGGCTTACTAAACAAGAACACATACGCGTAATCCTTAGAGGAGACCACGTTCTCTGGGATGAAGAACACGGTCTGGCTCTAGGATGAAGAACGCGGCCATGTAACTGAGTTAATAGGTCGTGTTCTCAATTAAGAGAATGGGCAGGAAAACACAGGCTAGAGGTACCAAAGAACGTGATTCTTTCTTGGTTCCCAAGGTTGCGTTTTCACTTACGAGAATGAACGAGGACATCACAGAGTGAAGATTGGAGAACACGGGTTGTGCAATGGAAAACGTGACTACGTTTTCTAACGTACAGACCGTGTTTCCTTAGATTAACCCCAGATGGGAGGATTAAATCCAAGCTTGCATTGTGTAGTGCTTATGGATGAATACATTGATTAAGTGATTACCTTGGTGTATTAAAAAGATGTTTGTAATCTTGTTAAAGGAAAGGAGCAATCCGGGGAGTTCTCAAAGGGCAAAGGACTTTCGGATTAGCTATCGAAAAGTGAGTAAAGTCTAACCTATTAATCGTATGAATTCATATATGGGATTCGGGTAATGAAGCGGCTCGAATATGGAATATGGGATCACTGAATGGCTATAACTATGTGTATGTGTGAATGAAGTGATATGTAATGGATGATGTATGAATGAGATGTGGTTAACTGTTATGTGATGCTGCAAGTGGAATGTGATAAGGGTTGACAGATAATCATGAATGAAAATATGATGTATAGCCTAATTGGCTATATTGTGATATTGGAAATCCTACAAGGTGATGATGGGATAATGGGTATCCTAATTGGCTATATTGTGATATTGGGAAGCCTATTAGAAAAAATGTGGAACGGGAAGCCAGAAGGCGATGATGTGTTAATATGAAATGGTGTGAATGTGATTAATGAAATGATATTAAATGTAATCATATGAATGGTATTTGATTGATGCTTATGCTCTAGACTGATTTTGTGACTAACTAAAGAAGATTTTTTTGATCACCTAAATCAAACCTAATGGTGGTACTTTATACATCTGTTGGTGGTGTTTAAGGCATATGTTGAGATGTGCTTTATGCATCTACTGGTGGGGTTTTATGCATCTAGAGGTTGTGTCTAAGGCATCTATTGGACGATGTTTTATGCATCTATTGACGGTGCTTAATATATCTATTGGATATACATGCGGGAGTGAATGACTTGAAAAAGATACTTAAACTAGCAAATTTCTATGTATGTATGTATGTATGTATGTATTTTTTCCATGTAATATCAAGGTACAATAGTTAGATCCTCTACCCAAAACCCCAAAGCGACATTTAATGAAGCCACCCAACAAAATCAAAGGAAGCTATCTCTACAAGGGACAGCAGCAGGGCTTGTCTTGCCACTCTATGGGCAGCCCAGTTGATAGTACTCGGGAACGAACTAAAGCGAATACAAGAAGAACAAGAGCTCAACAACTGGAGACAATCACGAAGCAAGGGCCCGCCCACCGAATCTTCACAACATCTACCGTCAAGCTGTCGAATGACCACTTCAGAATCACCTTCAATAATGACAAGGGGGATGTTGTGGGAATGCACTAACGAGATGGCGTCCCTTGCAGCAAGCAGCTCCGCAAGATAAGGATTCGAATCTCCTAGATGGTGGAATCCCGAGGCCAAAAAGATTTGCCCATCCGTTCCTCGAGCGACGAGGCCAGACGAGCATCCCGATTCACAGACAACAACATTGAAGTTGATCTTGATAAAACCTTCAGGAGGACCAACCCAAATGGAGAGACGGGAGGACTGGAGGCGGGGAGAAGGGGTCTGGGGATGAAGGGAGACTAAGGAATATTCTTGGACTTGGAAGAAGAAATGACGGGCAAGGGAACTGGCTAGTGGTTGAGTGAATTCAAAAACCACTTTATTTCTAGATTTCCAAATTCACCAAAGAAGATAGACGCAGGGGAGATAGTGGATTTGAAAGTTTTCTGAATTCATAACATGTCGCCACCAGATACCGAAATTTTCAGTTGGGGCGGAGAAAAGTAAGCTACTTAATCCCACCATAGCCCAGATGTGTAAATCAAGAGGACAGTGGAAAAAGAGGTGTTCAATATTTTCTTGACTATCCCAACAAATTGATCAACGAGTTTGGCAGTTAATTTCCCGAGATCTAAGAGCCACCATAGTTGGCAATATTACTTTCAAACATTGCCATATAAAAAACTTGAGCTTCGGTGGGACATCAAGAGCCCACGTTCTTTTCCAGACAGGAGGATCAATAATGGAAGCCATCGATTTTTGGCTAAGTGCCAAGATATTTTCCAAGGCAAGATGGTATCCTGTTTTTACAGAATAAGATCTATTTTTTTAAAATTGCCAGATTAGCTTATCTTGTTGTGGTAAAATGGGTACTACCATTTTTCTAATGAGATCAACTAAATTTTCCTTGAACCAATGTCTTAATCTAGGGACATGCCATTCATTTTGTCCTTCTCTGATGAAAATGACACCCTCAGACTGTTATTGCCCTCTTGCAGCCTATGCTCAGGTGGCATGGTTTATCAGCTAGTAACCAATTATATTTGAAGGATTCTATGTCGTTTCCATCGCCCACCTGCCATCGCAGTCCCTGAACAAGGAGATCTCGTCCAAAAAGGATGCTTCTCCATCCCCAAGATGGGTTAGAGCCAATAGAGGCTTTCAATACCGAGCTTTCATTGAAATATCTTCCTTTATACAATCGACTAAGAAGTGAATCAGGATTTGACCATATGCGCAAACAAAGCTTGGCTAAAAGAGCTTGATTGAAAGCCCTAAAATCTCTGAAGCCTAGTCCTCCGTGGAATTTACTTTGAGCGAGACCTTTCCACGATACCCAGTGAATTGGATTATCAAAATTATGAGCGGTTCCCCACCAAAATCTTGCCAAAAGGTCATTTAAACGTCTACAAGTGTCAACTGGGAACTTAAAGCACGTCATACCATGAACGAGTATATTAGTTGCCGAGGTCCTAATCAGAGTGTCCTTAGCACCTTGGAAAGGGTCCGTTGTTTCCAGCCTTGCAATTTCTTGCCCATCTTTTCCTCAATATAGAGGAAGGTATCTTTTTTCGATCTTGAAATTAGGGAAGGCAGTCCTAGATAAGAATCTTGTTCTCATATAGCCTCAACTCCTAACTGAGTTCCCATGAAGCTTGCATCCTCACTCTTAGTATTCCTACTAAATAAAACTGCCGATTTGGAGAGGTTGACTTTCTGGCCACTTAGTCCTTCATAACCCTGGAGTAAGGATAAGAGGGTCGTACAAGAAGCCTGAGAGGCTTGTAAAAAAAGATAAGAGTCGTCAGAAAAGAAGAGGTGGGAAATCATAGGGCAGTTTTGACGTATCCGAACTCCTTCCAAGAATCCCATGGTTACTACCTTATTTATCATTGCTGAGAATCCTTCTGTGCATGTAGAAAACAATAGAGAGGATAAAGGATCACCTTGTCTTAGTCCTCTAGAAGGTCTGAAGTACACTGAAGGGGATCCATTAACGAGAATGGAATAGGAGACAGTGGTGACGCATTCTTGAATCCATGATATGAATTGATTATTGAATCCTAATTCCTTCATCATTTCGAATAGAAAAGGCCACTCAATACGATCATATGCTTTCTCCATATCAAGATTTAAGGCCATCCAACACTTTGACCCTGAGTAAAGGGTTTTGATATGATGAGTGACCTCATGGCTGATCATAATATTATCTGTAATCTGACGATCTTTGATGAACCCATTTTGAGATTGAGAAATGATTGAGGGCAAAACTTTACTAAGTCTATTGGCATTTGGCTAGGATCTTGGATATAATCTTATAGACAACTAAAGAATTTCGAAAGAAATCCAAGTCCGATTAAAGCTTCTCAACAGTCTTCCAGAGTGAAAGAAGGTTAGGGCTGCCTGAGTGACATCTTGTCCAACCACAGACCAAAAATGTTGGTAAAACCAGGCGGTGAATTCGTCTGGACCTGGAGCTTGGGACTTGCCCAAAGCTGAATACCATTTTTTAACTTCCTCTGTGGTGATAGGAGCTATTAACCCCAGGTTTTGCTCTTCTGTAAGGGTGTTTGTGAATACTAAATTGGAGAGACTTATCCCACCCACGTTTTGACTTTGGAAGAGTTCTTGATAGTACCCTTTGGCGATGCCACATTTTTCTACTTTTGTAGTACACCAGTTTCCTCTTTCATCCTCAAGTCCCCAGATTATGTTATTTTGACGACGTGATGAGGTGACCAGGTGAAAGTAGGCCGTATTTTTATCCCATACTTTTAACCAATTAGTACAAAACTTATGTTCCCAATAGATCTCTTCTCTTTTATATTGGATGGACAAATTCTCTTCCAAGGATCGAATTAAATTCCAATCCACAATATGTTCACTCCTGGGTTTATCCAGTGCCGAGTTAAGGTCATTAGTCCATCTAGCTGAATTGGATTGGTCTCCTTTGCACTATTCTACTAGGGAATGCCTTACTCGCAACAGTTTGGCGATGCCACATTTTTCTACTTCTGTAGTACACCAGTTTTATCTTTCATCCTCAAGACCCCAGATTATGTTATTTTGACGACGTGATGAGGTGACCATGTGAAAGTAGGCCATATTTTTATCCCATACTTTTAACCAATTAGTACGAGACTTCTATTCCCAATAAATCTCTTTTCTTTTATATTGGATGGACAAATTCTCTTCCAAGGATCGAATTAAATTCCAATCCACAATATGTTCACTCCTGGCTTTATCCAGTGCCGAGTTAAGGTCATTAATCCCTCTAGCTGAATTGGATTGGTCTCCTTTGCATTATTCTACTAGGGAATGCCTTACTCGCAACAGTCGAAAGAATAAAAAAAATATTGTATAGAGCCTATAATTTGTGAACTCCAAGCGTAGCTAATGATTAGCTCAGCTTCTGGCATTGTTGTCCATCACATATTGAACCTGAAAAATCTTTTAAAATGAGGAGCCATGACACTAGTAGTCAGACGTAACAGTCGATGATCTGAACCTTTATCAGAGAGGTGGTATAGGCACGATTTTGGCCAATAATTCATCCAAACCGGTGAGACAAATACTCTATCAAGTCATTTCTCAATTGTAATCCCATTCCTGCCTCGATTTGTCCATGTATATTTAGACCTTTGGAAAGGAGGCTCAAAGAGACCAGTTTGGTGTAAGAAATCCCACAAAGGGCGGGCTTTGCCCGTACGCCAAGTTGCACCCCCTAGTTTTTCTGATGGAAATAGGGAGCAGTTGACATCCCCTATGATTAGGAATGGATCTGATATGCTTGATGAGAATCTTTTTATTTCCTCTAATTGTTCTTGTCTCTTCAAGATGACATAAGAAAGATAGACTCCAATTAAAACGAATCGTGGACACTCACCATAGAAAGAGCAGTTATTATTGATGATGGAAATGGCAATAAAAAAGGAGGTAGACCCTATAATAGACACTGAGGCCAAACGTGGCCAAGCAAAGACTAATCCGCGCGACATACCGGTAGGATCAACAAAGTGACAATCAGAAAATCCTAACGAGGAAATAAAAGACGACACCGTACTCCTAGTAGACATTGTCTCTCTTAGGAAAAGAAACGATTTAGCTAGACAATGATGAGTTTTGAGCGTTTGGAATGTCAAGGGACTCCTCACACCTTGACAATTCAACGCGAATACATTCATTTATCGATTTGGGACCACTTGGGGTTGGCTTCCTCCACCCTTATTTTATGCCCATTCTTTGGTGCTGATTCCACCACGCCTTCTTCTGGCTCTTGGATACATATTCCCATATTTCTCCAAGTATAGACAATAGGAGATCCCGAAGACTCTACCAGGATGGCCTTCCCTTTCGACTTTCCATTTTCAACGGGTTCAATCGAAGAGCATGATACTGCAGATTCTGAAGATAGTAAGTGGGCTTCGAGATTTAGAAAGCCCATTTCTCCTTGGTAGCCAAACGGGTTAGCTTCATCCAAATCTTTAAATAAAAAATCTGGGGGTTGGCTTCTGCACTTACAATGGAAACTGAGAACTCTCCATGATTGGACCAACTTCACAGCTTCCTTGCCCATTAAAAGTTTCAGCATTATTCTCCCATCACGCCCGTTAGTGATTAATTTCCTATCCTCCTGGAGACTTGAGCAGGCCCTTCTACTCGGCCCAGGTAGTAACTCAATAGCTGCCCTTTTCAGCCCAACCAGACTGCTCCCTTCATTGTTTGTTGGATTTGTGGTCTGATGGGCCCTTGGAAGATTAAAGAGTTGGTCATGCAACCTTCCCCTTCCGCCCCTCTGAACACCCCTGCCTGCCGTCAAACCAGAAGAAGCCAGCGGATTGCGCCCCTGATTCTGACGAGACGGCGAACCTTCCAAGAGCAGCGTCGTTCCAGTTTGGCACTGGGTGGAATTCTCGTTGCCTCCATACATTGGCTCCTCTGCCTTGTCCACCATTCCTAACCGAAGCATATGAGAATTCATTGATTTTTGGACCTGTCTTGTTGCCAATGATTCCCGGGCCGAAGCCATCATCCCTAGCAATCAGATCGAATGGGAAATTGTATTGATTATGCCCAATACGTCTGCACCAGTAGCATATTGTTTTGACTCTCTCGTACCTGAGAGAGACCCATAAGGAAAGAGCCGCGGAACCATCTGGATTCCTCTTTCTTGCCTCTAGCCTATTTTCGAGAGGAGCCGACACATCTATTCGGACCCGTGCTTTGAAGACGCATCCCGGAATCTTCCAAACTGCATACATAGCCGCATCTTCCAAGGTGCCAAGCCTTGAAGCCAGCAGAGCGCCGAGGGCCACCGTTCGATATTCCTCTGGCAAATCCCATAGTTGCACCAAATATTGAACACGAGTCAATTCCTGGAATAAATCTTCCGAGGGAGTCTCCCACTTTTTGAACGTGAGGATTTTCGATTGAATGAACCATGGAGCCTTCCCGAGTGCCTCACTGTAATCAGTTTGATTAGCGAAAACAAATTGAAAGACACCGAATCCGGCATCCAATACCGTAACCACTGCTCTTTTGGCCCATATGTAATTGGCTATGTGATGTGCTCGGATTCGGGACGGATGGGATGAGCAGAGCAGTCGTCCAACGAGACTCAGTCTTGCTCTGTTCAGCCCAGCCTCCAGAACCTCGTCTGTGAATTCCACAGGAGCAACCATTGGAGATATGTGAAGGAGAGAGGAGAGCTCTGTTTTTTCGAAAGAAGAACGGTGGAAGGAGAACAGAGGAGTAGATGGTACGACTCTTGGGTTTTGAGAATGGGGTTATAAGGACGCCCATTAGAGAAAAGAAGGGTGACTGGTCATTAAAGCCCAAATATTTGAAAGGGCTTAAACTGCAGCTGGAATGAGGCCAAAACTGCTCTAAAAATGCACACTAAATACAAAAGTCGTTGATAGGGCGGAAGGATCCGAAAAACGATCCAAAATTGAAAGAGAAAAAATGATTAAGGAATTGCGGGCTTGATAGGACCAATAATTTGGTTAATGAAAGCCCATTAACTTCCTTATTTGCAGTCATCGGGACTTTATTCCATTAACGGTAATACCGTTTTTAGAAGAGCCTCTCTCTCTTCTCTAAATTCTCCCACAAGTAATAATGACTCCCCAAGCCAGGTTTAATTAGGGTATTGACGGTCACCGGAAAAGCGAATTCAGGCGGAGGAGTCCACTGCACCCTTAGGTCAGTCGTTAGAAAAGGTCTTCCCGTCGAGTGAGACTAGAAAAAAGAGTATATTCTTACCCAGGAAAGGACGCCGGAAAGTGTTGGTCGTCTGAGTCAAGGTAAGAGAGTACAAACTGGAGGCATCACCTAGGAATTATATAGGAGGTTCAAAGGAAGACGTTACCATTGGCTCCCGCCAAATCATAAAATTATGAACTTCCCACTCAATTTCTAACTCAAAAGTAGAAGTGTATCAATGCTTTCGGCGAAACCATGAATCTTTGCCGATGGTCATGACGATCATATTCCGGGACCGAATTTGATGTGTTCCACCCTTCTCAACTTCTCACCTATATGTCGTTTTTCCTCCTTCCCTTCCCATCTCTCTCTATATGTCATTTTTCCTCCTTCCTCTTCGGTTTTGACAATTTCCTCAACAAGATTCCTTGTACCCTGTCCCTGTGTGAAACCTGTAATTGGTTTCATCTCCATTTGTTGCTCTTTTTTACCATTGTAATGATCATGGCCATGGTCATGCGCATCACCATTGTTCTCCACTCCAAGACTCTCGGTTCCTCTCTCGTCCCTAACTTCGTCAGGTACCCCATCACATGAAGCATTTTCTTCAACTACTACAGTAGTGTCTATACTTAGGTCACAGAATTCGTGGACTTTGGGCCCACGCTCGCATTTTAGAGCGCAAAACGCGGATTCCCGTGTAATCGTGCCAAATCCGCGATTTTTTTTTGCCGGAGCGCGGACTATGCTAAAAAAATCGCGAGTTGTGGGAGGAGGATTTTACTTCGCCACCGTTGACACCAGAACCAGCACCATGTTCGTCGTCAGCAAGGTTCCCGGCGGCCCGCGGCCCTCTTTCTTCTCCTTTCCCACCATTGAGTCCAAACCCAAAATAAAAGGGGTAAGAACCCCAATATTTACTTAAAATCAGAATCTGACAAGAAAAGATGAGCATGCATGCCTCCAAAACCTAACTAATTAGCGAAATTCTCATCCTTGTCGCCGTTAACAAGAGGGGAAGAAGCAGATCGAAAACTTCCTTTCATCGTATTCTTTCTTCGAAGACGGGAAGAGACTGGAGAATAGAAAGATGACGACAATGAGATAACAGGAGATTGGGATTGTTGGGCTGTCAAACATAGCCATCCTTTCTTTCTTTAATTTTGTTTTGCCTGGTTTCTAGAATGAAGGAAGAAAGGGGGGGGGGGGGGGGGGGGGGGGGGGGGGGTTGAAGTTGGGAGAGTCAAAGAAGAGGGTAGGTAAGGAAGCGGCCAAAAAGATGGAAGAGCAAATCAGGTTTAGGCTTTTTGTTGCTAGAAATAATTACCAACCCTCAGCATATTGACCCTTTTGCCCCTCATATGTCTCTAGAACCTTACCTCACTATTCTCTAAAAATGAGAAATGTAACAAAAAGAGTATGTATGGTGACCTCCAACTTGAATCAAAGTCCCAATCGACGTTTTTATCATAACAAAATATTGTTTCTTATTTAAATATATTTAAAAATTAATTAATAATAATATAATATTAACGCTCTGTTTACGCTTTCAACTTTGAATTCTTTGAAATTTAACGCTCTGACGCTTTCGCTCCCGCTCTCGCTCTCGCTCCACGCTCTAGTTAGCTTAGTCTATACCATCTTCTTGAACAACTACCTCGGGAAAAATCAAAGGCTTTCCTGGCCAATCCTTGAAGAAAGAGTTCATCGCCATGAATCGAAAGGCTTGGAACAATCTTTGGTTGTCTCTCTTTATGTATCTACTCGGAAGCTTCTCCAGAAGTGGTGGTTGTTTTCTGTCGGCAGCAGAAACGCCTGACAAATGATCATGGGTTGATGTTGTTGCGTCATTCTTAACCAAATTAAATGATCATGTATGTATGTATGTATGTGTGTATGCGTGTATGATTGATCATGGAATTATGGATGATGTTTATGAGAGGATTACATTGGCAATGTGAATGACATAATGGTTGTCTTGGGGGAACGAGAGATAAGAACGGGGTTTGACTTCACTAAGTTATTATGTTTGTGTTGATATTGTTGGTATGTCAGTTTTTACTCATTGAGTTGACGTCTCACCCTGTCAAATTTTTTCCCAGATATGAAGTTGTTGACTAGAAGTCAAGAAATTCAGCAAGACTTAGCTCAGCAACAATGAGGTAGGACGGTGGGCTCGACATGAACATGATTATAAGTGTTTTGAGAGAAGATTATTTTCCCTATTGTCATGTGTATACAAAGTTTTTAAAGTTATTTTTGTAAATTATAGTTTGGTGTGTAAACTAAACAAGAATGTGTATGGTTTGAGAAGTATAATAATGTAAAATGGTTTTAGATATGTATGTGTGTTAAAGTATATGCTAGGTTTGTAATAGCTTTCTGTAATTTATCTCATTATTATTCAAACAAATATTTAGTAAAATGAGAGTAGCACGACAATGGATGGGGTTGGGTCAGGCATCTGTAAATCAAAAACCAACCCAGCGGATACACGCACAAAAGAAATCAAGTATGAAATATCAATTGGGTTTTAGAAGCAAAAATCAAATGTAACTCAACTTACCCAATGGGTACCCACAGGTGCATGGGTACCTATGGGTTGATAAAAAGAACCACACATTATTTCTCTGAACACACATATCTCAACATTATAAAAGATTCCTACACATATATTTCTATAAATTAAACTAATAAAATACATAAAATATCTATATTATGAGGATTTTTTTATCATAAAGACTAATAACCTCCATAAATTATTCATGTTGTTAAGATTAGATACTAAATGATTTCATTTTGTTTCCGAGGTGCTGGTCAGGTAGAAAGCGTGTTAGATTTTGACAAAACCCAAACCTCGTTTATTTTAAAAGTGAGTAAAACTTGCACCCGACTCATAACCCATCAACACTGGGTTTTATCCCCTTTAATCGGGTTGGGGCGGATTGAGTATCGTGAATTCAAGTTCAATTGTCATCCCTACTAACACCCTTTGCTACCAATCAAACTTTTAAGGCTGAAAAATTCCAACTTTGTCTTCAAACGGTTAAAGACCCTTTGTCGGTCAATACAAGTTATGAAAGGCCACCATTAAGGATGAAAAGGCAGGTATTTCAATAGTCATATCGATACCTTGTCCCGCACCAAGTGTGGGTCATGTCAGATAATACTCGTACGGGTACGAGTCAAAACGACCTGTGTTGACTCATTTTCACATGTTATTTAAAGAAAATAAATATAAAAAATAATTCTTTTATGTTAAAGTAAAGAGAAGACAATTCATAAATGTGATACAGTGATAATAAAATTGATAATTGAGTATATAATTGAAAGATCAAGTCTAGTACCTATTTAAAGTTTCGTTAGGTGAAAATATGATTGAAAAAAGTTAGAATAGGAGAAATACAAATGTACGTTGAAGAAAATTGACATAGCACGGATCAAGACAAGACTAGTCGAAAGTAGTAGTCCATGTCCTGCCCCATGATGTTGCGGGTCGGATAATATACTTGTTAGTGGCGGAGCCAGAAGGTTAAAATAGGTGTGTCCTTTAATATAATATAAATATATAAATACATATTATTAGAAAATATTATTCAAGTAATTCATTTTAAAAAGAAAAAATAACTTGTGAATACAAATTTCTTCTTTTTATAAACAATTGTGACGTGCTTTTATATATGGAAAGAATTGTTAAAAAAAACATCAATCGCCTATAAAACTTCTAGTTTTACATAAGTGTCTAGTACTTGAATTCTATATATACACATATGTATGTGAAATTAATAAGTTTTTCCCCAAATTTTAGATGTGTCCTGTGACGGAGTCAAATAAGATGGTTCCGCTACTAAAACCCTCCACAACATAGGTTAAGTCGGATATTATTAGACGGATTCAAATTACCATATCTAGAGAAGTCATTTTGACTTGCATTAGTTATTCCTTGCGAGAGAGAGAACAATCACAAATGGTTGAAAAGGAGAACAAGGAAGGGAACTACCAGCCAACTTGGAAGGATATCTTTTTGTGGAAAAATAAAGCCAGCAAGGCTTCTGCAGAAAGCACAAGGATCTGTCACAATGATTTGGTGCCACGAACAGACAAAACATGGGAAATAAAAGCAATGAACAAAGTTAATTAAGAAAGGATTTTATTTTATACATCTTTCCTAATACAATGAACAAAGTTAATTAAGTAAGCATTTTTTAATATATCTTTCTTAATATGGTTAGATCAGGGTAGTAGACTTTACCAATATAAACATATTAGAGATCATTAAACCCCACCGACATTGTCCATGGAGTATCTCTCGTACATGTTGAAGAAGCAAACTGGATTACTTTTTCTTCTTCTTTATCGTTCATGAAAGAGAGTAGTAATCTAGTGATATGTGTCAAGAACCAGTTGGTCCCAATAACTCGAGTTGTTGGGAGAGGTTCAATCGTTGATCATATACCACAATACTAACACGCCCCCT